GAGGAGGGAGGGAGGAGGGGAGGAGGAGAGGGAAGGCAGAGGAGAGGAGGGAGGAGGGAGGAGGAGAGGGAAGGCAGAGGAGAGGAGAGAGGAGGAGAGGAGACGAGAGAGAAGAGAAGAGAAGAGGGCAGAGACAGGAGATGGTGGGGTAGGAATAGTAGAGGAAAGGAGAGAGGACCCGTGCAGTCTGTTGGACCCAGGTAGTCTGTTCAATGTGCAACAGTGTGAACACGGTCTATATTTAGCAAGGGGTTGTTACTGTAAGCTGTCTGAACAGCTTGGCCATTGAACCACATCAGATTGCTTATTACCCTCCCTCTCTCTCTCACACTCTTTCTCTTTCACACTCTTTCGCGTTCTCTCTCTTTCACTAGATCTGCTATTAGTTCTTGCCTTATTTCTTGCAGGCTCTGTCCTGTCAGTCCCAGTGATGTTACCTGGAGAGTTTCTGACCCTATTTTCTGCATTTCCGCCTCCATGCCCACCAGTCAAGATGCAGCCTCTGTACCGTGTGTTCTCTGTATGTACCACACACTACTAGAGGTGGCCAATGAATTGCCTGTTGAGCTTCAACAATATAAATATTGATTGTTGGGTGATCGGTATGCCCCTTCTCCTCCACTTTCTAACCAACAAGGGATTTTACATTACAACTCCAATACCCTTTGTATTTCAGAGCCTTTTATGATACAATCACAGTCTCTTAGAGGAAAAGGCCTCTCTCTTACTGAACTGGCAATCATGCCTGTTAATCTCATACCCCCTCTCTCTTGTCTCTCCCCCTCCATCCCTTCCCTCCCCTCCCTCTCACCCCTCCCTCTCCCTCTCCTCTCCAGCTGGTGGGGGGTGAGTTTGACCTGGAGCAGAACTTCATCATAGCGGCAGCGGAGAGCCTTGGCTGTATGGTAGAGCTGTTGGAGCACTGTGATGTGACCTGCCAGGCTGAGGTGTGGTCCATGTTCACAGCCATCCTCAGGAAGAGTGTCCGTAACCTCCAGAACAGCACTGAGGTGGGCCTCATAGAGCAGGTGCTGCTGAAGATGAGCTCCGTTGACGACATGATCGCAGGTAAAGGAACATACGCAAGCAAGTATGTACGCAAGCACACGCAAGCAGGCACACACACACACACACGCACACTGAAAACATAGTCCGTAGAGCTTGTTCCATGGCCAGGTGCCTACAGTAAGCCTGCAGTACAGTACCCACTGCAGAGTGCTGGGTGGATGGATGTGGATTAAGTTAATATTTTAAGCATATTGAAATTCCTCTGGCTTAAAGGATAGGAAAGATTGAAAAGAGAAAATGTCATTAGTCACAGTGTGTTTTATAATGAGACTGAATGGCAGTTTAGAGGAAAATTACATTTCAGAGGGAAAACTAATGGAATGGCACTTTTCAACTATTTTTAATTATATTGTGAAATATGAGGGCATGTTTCTATTGTGGATTTTTTACAGTAAATAATGAACCCCTATCTGCCAATGAGGAAATTGAAGTACCAAGTCAACACTAATGTGTGTGTGTGTGTGTAGACCTGCTGGTGGATATGTTAGGAGTGCTGGCCAGCTACAGCATACAGTGAAGGAGTCAAAACTGCTGATTCAGTAATGCTGAGGAGACCCGAGTACTCTCTGTGTAAGTGTAGGAGTAGAGGACACTGGGTAAGTAACTAATATGGGTCGGGAACGGATAGGTTTACAGTTGGGGTTTAGAATCACCTGTTGTAATGGGATGAACATGGCTATATATCTACCATCTCTTAACTCATCTATTCTTTCATTTCACATAATCTCCCCTCATCTCAGGCAAATGTCCCTCAGGTGTCCCTCTGTCTCTTCCCCCATCTTTGGCTCTTCTCCTCCGTATTTTCCACATTAGGTATATTCTTCACTCCTCCTCCGCCTTTACCCCCTCTTCCCCTTTCTCCTCCCTCTATCTCTTCTCTCCATCTCGTCTCCTCTCTCCTACAAACATTTCTCCTCTTCAGCCGAGGCATGCAGTGAAGCTGCTGTCTGTTCTGAACCAGATGCCTCAGAGACACGGTCCAGACACTTTCTTCAACTTCCCCGGACGCAGTGCTGCGGTAAGGCTTTACACTCTGGGCTGGGCTAGCCTGTGATGTGGACATTCCCTCTTATTATACACCAAAAAAAAGAAAACGTTTTGTTTGTGTGGAGAGCTGAAAAAAGTTATGCATAAACTGTAGGTATCTGTCACTGTTCTATAATATGGTGAATTGGCTGTTTGGAATTGTAATGGTAATTGATTATGTACCTAGCAGCTACCTTGCTCTATTCTGATTGGTCAGATGTTAATTAATTGTTGGACAAGAACAGCAAGCAGTTGAGTTGATGCATGGCTGTAGATGTGGTCAGTTCATTATAAAGGGTGCGTTCCTCTGCCCAGGCGTTGCTGATGCATGCCAGATCTTAAAACCCCTGGATAGGTATTCTACGTATCAGCTAACCACATCATATGTTATTGCAATGTGGTGCCCGACAGCACAGTCGATGACGTGGTACGCAACCATTGGTTGATGCATGCGATGTCTTAGCAGGGGAACACCTCCTAAATCTGCAAAAAAGTAATTAATCTCCATCCAGTGTTTGCCTTCATAGAGCGTCATCAATCCACCATCTAAAGAACCATCAGACGACTGCAGTATGTTTGTTACTTTATTCGGTTTAGAGATGACTCTTCCTCTGAAGTCTATGATAAGTATCTCTCTCTCTCTCGCTTAGAACAGGGAGGGAGAGAAGAGAGGGAGGGAGAGAGGAGAGCGGAGAGGAGGAGAGAGAGAGAGAGAGAGAGGCGACGGAGAGAGAAAAGGGCGGATCAGGCAGCGAACCTGAGCGAGCGCCGGAAGAGAGAGGAGAAAGAGAGGAGAGAAGAGAGAGGCGAAAGGATAAGAGAGAGAGGAGAAGAGGAGCGAGAGGGAGCGAACCGGGAGAGGTAGAGAGAGAGAGGAGAAGAGAGAGAGCGATAGAGAGAGGGCCGGGAGGACGAGAGATAGAAGACGAGAGAGAGGTAGAAAATGAGAGAGAAGAGACGAAGCGAGCAGAGAGGCGGGACGAAACGAGCACGAGCATAGAGAGCTCCCTTTCTTCTCTCTCTCTCCCCTCTCTCTCGCTCTCGCTCTCGCTCTCTCCCCTTTCTTCTCTCTCTCTCCCCTCTCTCTCCCCCCTCTCTCCAGGCCATAGCGCTGCCTCCCATTGCTAAGTGGCCTTACCAGAACGGTTTCACTCTCAACACCTGGTTCAGAATGGACCCTCTAAACAACATCAATGTAGACAAAGACAAACCATATCTCTACTGGTGAGTAGTACTCATACTGTATAAACCATATCTCTACTGGTGAGTAGTACACATACTGTATAAACCATATCTCCACTGGTGAGTAGGACACATACTGTATAAACCATAACTGGTGAGTAGGACACATACTGTATAAACCATATCTCTACTGGTGAGTAGGACACATACTGTATAAACCATATCTCTATGGTGAGTAGTACACATACTGTATAAACCATATCTCTACTGGTGAGTAGTACACATACTGTATAAACCATAACTGGTGAGTAGGACACATACTGTATAAACCATATCTCTACTGGTGAGTAGGACACATACTGTATAAACCATATCTCTATGGTGAGTAGTACACATACTGTATAAACCATATCTCTACTGGTGAGTAGTACACATACTGTATAAACCATATCTCCACTGGTGAGTAGGACACATACTGTTTAAACCATATCTCCACTGGTGAGCTTATAAACCATGTCTTTACTGATGAATACACACGAAGCACATAAACACAACTGCAGATGATCAGTATCATTTGCAAAGCCAACCTGGTTGAAACCTCTGAGATCTAAGTGAATAAATAATAATTTTATGTACAGCTGTTGTCCTTTTCACTAGCACCCAAACAGTCCCCCCACTTGTTGTACTGACCCACTGGGCAAAAACTGGTTCAATCAACATTGCTTCCACATAATTTCAACAAAACTATTCAATGTGATGACGTTGAATCAACGTGGAAAACTGATTGGATTTGCAAAAAGTCATTAACGTAAGGGAATTTCGTATATTTTTTCACCCAGATTTTAACCTAAATCCAATTAAATTGTTTGGTTTATTTCACGTTGAATTCACGTTAGTTGACAACTCAAATGTAAATCAAAACTAGACGTTGAACTGACGTCTGCACAGTGGGGACCCAGTAACTCTAGTGTTTGACCTCTGACCTTCCCTCTAAATCTGTAAGCAGATTATGACCACAAGTTGTTTTTCATTTCATTCATTTTTCAAGGTTTAAAGTTTATAAGCAGCTCTGTCTGAGGACTCCATTCTTCCTGATGATGTAGTAGAGTAGAATGCCTAAAGGAGGAATGAGTCCTGATTAGAGTGATTAAAACCAGCCCAGGTCTGAACTGTGGAGGCTGGTACAAGCTAGTGTGTGCGGTGTGTGTGTGTGTACAGGCTGGAATCAGAGGCAGGCTTCAGAGGGAGGTACAGAGACAGGGTATATGGGCTGTAAGGGGAGGTACAGCGGTAACAACTATTATTGTAGACTCTAATGTCCGGCCACCACAGCCCACGTCTGGTGGAGGATTGTGGGTAATTAACAGAGCGATCAATAGCCTCAAGAGGAGAGTTTATCAACCACTACTCCAGATAGATAGGGAGATGAGAAACAAACACAATATCATTATCCTTCTGGTGTGGATAGTGTTTGGTTGACATAAACCTGATAGGAACAAGATAATCATTCCTCCAGTGAGAGAAAGGCATTATTTTTCCTGAATATCTACAATGTGAAACATCAAATCAAGGGAGCCAATCTGAAATTAGAAATGTAATGTTCGCACCTCGTAATTTTGATGCTATTATTTTTTGCAGCTTTCGCACCAGTAAAGGAATCGGCTACTCTGCACATTTCGTGGGCAACTGTCTGATCGTGACATCACTGAAGTCTAAAGGCAAAGGCTTCCAGCACTGTGTCAAGTATGACTTTCAACCTAGGAAGGTAAGAGATGCTTTGACGGACGTCACTGTGCTTGCTTAATTGTACCATCTCAAACCGATACCAGAACCCAGGACCTCTGCCTTGCAAACACACACGACCGCCCTCCTGAAACGTTCTTAGCCACTTGCGCCACCGAAAAGTTAGCAGTTCGGCCGTGCAAGTGGAGACAACAAGGGTGACCAGGTTTAATCTGTTACCCTGGTAGTGATCAATGGTCAGTGTGGTTACACCAGCCTACAGGTCACATAGCTGATGATCAGTAGAGGGCTTATGTAGCAGTGTGCAGGTCCCAAATGTGAGTGATGGTGTGTTGAGGTGCTGCTGATTAGAATAGGATCATCAGTCTGCTGCTCTATAGGACTGTGTTGATCTTGTCAGAATGTTATGGATGAGGCCTGACCACCAGCCTGTTGCTATGTGGGTACTATCAGGAAAACCCATTAATGATCTCTTTGGTCATATGTATCAAGCGCTTTAGGCTGTTTTTAAACAGCCAACCTACCCAAATTTCAGCAGGTATTGTGCAAAAAACCCACTTCAGAGCAACAAAAAAACTAATCTGACTGTCCACACAGAGGTCGCATATGGAGGATCGGGTTTGTATCAGGTTTGAGATCCACATATGGAGGTGGTATAAATTGGAAGTCAAAAGATGAGATTCCATGTGGTTTTGTGCTGTTTACACATTAGAGAAAAGATCAGATAGGAATCAGAAATGCAAATAATTGGCAAAAGATCTGAATTGGGCTAGGAGTAGGAGTGCTGAACTAGGATCAGTGCTGATCTAGGATCCATGTAATCTTATTCATTGTGATCTAAAAGGCTTAATCAATCCTAAATCAGCACTGAGATGATTGATGCATACAGCCTCTGGTATCTAACAGTGACATCATCTTAATAAAACTTTAGAACATCTTTACAGCAAACTTAGTATAACTGTGGTTTGGAAAAGGCAAGTTGTGTATGGAGTACTGAATTCTGCTGTGTTGGTACAGTATATGACACAATAGATCATATACAATGTGGGCAGTTTGACTTTATTAACAGATCATCAGGGACAGAAAATACAGCGCAATTGTTAGGATAGACAAACATCTGTCACAACAAAACACTCCTCCCTCCCTCTCCTCCTCCTCCCCTCCCTCAAAAAGTTTGGGCTCCGCATGTGGATCTCAATATACCCCAGACTTCTGTCACCACTAGACTTGGCCAGCACTGCTATCAGAAGCCTAGCCAGTAGCAGACAGTGTCTCCGGTGTCCTCAGACCAGGGAGAGAGACCTGCTCTGTTTAACACTCCCACAGCTGGGTGCACAGTGAGATGAGCTGAGAGTATATAGAGGGAGTGTATTGTAGCTTGGGATGTCTGACACCCTACCTGTCTCTGTCCCAGTAGAGATAGCAAGCTGGCTCAAGGCTCAAGGCTGCTCTCAGACAATTACAGCCTTCGGTTAAACAGCTGTCAGAAACCATGGTGTGTCTGACATGGCACCCTATTCTGTACATAGTGCAACACTATGTACGGAATTAAGTTCACCCTCTCGTCCGCTCCTCTCTGCACAAGGTCAATGTTTCTATTAGTGAAGTCATCAGTGATCTTCATTAAAGTAGAGGGCAGACTTTGATCTAAAGATATCCTCAAATCAATTATCTGCTCTCCTGGTGATTAAAAGTGATCTTAAAGGGGGCATTGCCTCTTAATAGTCAACTGGAGTAATCTGATCCACTCTGCCATAGTCCTGTTAATTATGTGTTTAAATCCTTTTGATCTGCAGTAGATCAACATAGTGAGGGTTGCAGCTGGAACTGCTTCATTTAAAACTTTAAATTGAGATGATCCGTTTACAGGTTAGATTTTCATATGTATCAGAGAACCGCCTTGTGGATAACTGTATGGTCTGTAATAGTGTGTTGTCTATACCAATGCCGAATGTATGGATAACTGTATTGTCTGTAATACTGTGTTGTCTATACCAATGCCGAATGTATGGATAACTGTATGGTCTGTAATACTGTGTTGTCTATACCAATGCCGAATGTATGGATAACTGTATTGTCTGTAATACTGTGTTGTCTATACCAATGCCGAATGTATGGATAACTGTATGGTCTGTAATACTGTGTTGTCTATACCAATGCCGAATGTATGGATAACTGTATGGTCTGTAATACTGTGTTGTCTATACCATGCCGAATGTATGGATAACTGTATGGTCTGTAATATTGTGTTGTCTATACCATGCCGAATGTATGGATAACTGTATGGTTTGGAATACTGTGTTGTCTATACCATGCAGAATATATGGATAACTATATCATCTGGAATACTGTGTTATCTATGCTATGCAGTAGGCCTGTGTAATACTGCTATTGTCTCAGCAATATGTATGAGATCAGAGCTACTGAATCACATGATCCTATTTGGTCTCTAGATGATCTGGGTGACTGAAATGCATCCACAATAGGCTGTGTTTAAAACCCTGTTCATACAGTGGGATTGAATGGGTTGTAGTTTCTAGTGTTATTATGTGTGGAGCTGCATGCACACGCACACACTATCTCTCTCTCTCTCTCTCTCTCTCTCTCTCTCTCTCTCTCTCTCTCTCTCTCTCTCTCTCTCTCTTTCTCTCTTTCACTCACTCACTCACTCACCCACTCACTCACTCACTCACTCACTCACTCTAACCCTCTCTCTCCTCTCTGTGTTTCAGTGGTACATGATCAGCATCGTCCATATCTACAACCGCTGGAGGAACAGTGAGATCCGTTGCTATGTCAACGGTCAGCTGGTCTCCTATGGCGACATGGCCTGGCACGTCAACACCAGCGACGTGAGAATGCTCCTCATTGCTGATTGATTGGTTGATTGAAGCTTGATTGATTGACTGACTCTCCTGTCACTGCTCCTTCCTGTTGTGAGCCCTATGCAAGGTCGTGTTCAGGCACATTTTGAACAGTTTTGAAACATTTCTTATTGGAAGTGGAGGTATTACCTGTTTTTCACTCCGTTTTCCCCTGTTTTCTTCCCCACTGAACACGGCCTTGGTGGTAGTAATATTTGTGGTTGTGATGGTTGTGGCTGTGATATTTGTGGTTGTGATGTTTGTGGTTGTGATATTTGTGGCTGTGATGTTTGTGATGTTTGTGGTTGTGATGTTTGTGGCTGCAAATGCAGCATTTGATCATCTGCCACAGTTTGAAATCATCAGAGCCAAGATTGCGTCCCAAATGGCACCCTATTCTCTATATGGGCCCTGGTCAAAAGTAGTGCACTATAAAGGTAATAGGGTGCCATTTGGGACACAGCCAGAGATGCATAAATCTTTTGTGGTGCTCATTGAGTTTCAGCGCTGTGAGAGAGTTTACTTCTGGGAGCAGAGCTGCGTTTTCAAAGCTTCCATTTGAATAACCATTTATCAGGGAGATGTTTGAAGAGAGGAAGGCCGTAGAAGAAGAGACAGGAAGGGAGGATGACAAATTGAGAGAATAGCTTCATGTAATGTGGGAGAAAGATGAAGGCTGCTATCTACAGAGTTAGGGCTAGATGGGGTATGTGTGGTGGATATTATTATAACCCACTTCTACAAGGCAGGGGTTACAGGTACAGGTTTATAAGGACAGACACACACACACTATTGGCTCTGGTCAAAGGTAGTGCACTAAATAGGGAATAGGGTGCCATTTGGGATGCAGGCCTAAGTGTCTGTCAGCCTTCCTTCCTCTCTGAGTAGCAATCTATTAGAGGCCCTGTGACTCATGCGCTCTCATAATTATCCTATTTGCCCATTCAAAAGCTGTCATCAGTTTTTTTTGTCTGTTAATTGCTCTGCTACTCCGCTGTCTTTGAAGATGTGCTGGATGTGTTAAAGGACATGACCCTATCCTCTCATCTCCGTCTCAGTGTCCGTATAATGGCCCTAACCATTTCCCAGAACAATATAGATAGAGAGAGTTTGGACATTGTGGTTTATGTTTGAATGTTTTAAATATATCCCTCTTTGTGTCATTGTACAGAGCTATGATAAACCCTATTTTCTCTCTCTGTGTCCCTGATCCTCTCCTCTCCCCTCTCTCTGTCTCCTCTCTCTCTCTCTCTCTCTCTCTCCCCCCTCCCTCTTCTCTCCCGCTACAGAGCTATGATAAACCCCCTGCTCTGTGTGCCCGTGTACTGACCCTCTCCTCTCCCTCTGCAGAGTTATGATAAGTGCTTCCTGGGTTCGTCAGAGACAGCTGATGCTAACAGGGTGTTCTGTGGTCAGCTGGGGGCCATCTATGTGTTCTCTGAGGCTCTCAACCCAGCTCAGATATTTGCCATTCATCAGCTGGGAGCGGGCTATAAGGTACGTACTGGGTTGACTGAATTAGGGTACTGATATGTTAGGTTAGGATAGGATTAACTTTAATGGTACATGCACACAGCCTGCTACACCTATCAATCTGTGAAATCAATGCTGCTTGCTACAGTTTCCTGTTTCCTGCTACCTGGTGTCTCTATCCAAAGAGATATTCTTGAATGTGTCCTGTGTCCTAACACTGTATACACTGCATGCACAGTGTTCTGTTCCCTGGCTGTCCCTTAAACTATGGTTTGGACTGTTAAACAGACCCATAGTTAGTCATAGCCTGTCTCATCCAGTCTCTCAGGAGACACCAACAGACAGGGCAGTCTAACAGGGTATAGGAGACACCAACAGACAGGGCAGTCTAACAGGGTATAGGAGACACCAACAGATAGGGCAGTCTAACAGGGTATAGGAGACACCCACAGACAGGGCAGTCTAACAGGGTATAGGAGACACCCACAGACAGGGCAGTCTAACAGGGTATAGGAGACACCAACAGACAGGGCAGTCTAACAGGGTATAGGAGACACCCACAGACAGGGCAGTCTAACAGGGTATAGGAGACACCCACAGACAGGGCAGTCTAACAGGGTATAGGATACACCAACAGACAGGGCAGTCTAAAAGGGTATAGGAGACACCAACAGACAGGGCAGTCTAACAGGGTATAGGAGACACCAACAGACAGGGCAGTCTAACAGGGTATAGGAGACACCCACAGACAGGGCAGTCTAACAGGGTATAGGAGACACCAACAGACAGGGCAGTCTAACAGGGTATAGGAGACACCAACAGACAGGGCAGTCTAACAGGGTATAGGAGACACCAACAGATAGGGCAGTCTAACAGGGTATAGGAGACACCAACAGACAGGGCAGTCTAACAGGGTATAGGAGACACCAACAGACAGGGCAGTCTAACAGGGTATAGGAGACACCCACAGACAGGGCAGTCTAAAAGGGTATAGGAGACACCAACAGACAGGGCAGTCTAACAGGGTATAGGAGACACCCACAGACAGGGCAGTCTAACAGGGTATAGGAGACACCCACAGACAGGGCAGTCTAACAGGGTATAGGAGACACCCACAGACAGGGCAGTCTAACAGGGTATAGGAGACACCCACAGACAGGACAGTCTAACAGGGTATAGGAGACACCCACTCCCGTTGTTACTGGTTTTTATGTGTATGTCCTGTCTGCATGTATTAGTGGAGCTGCCAGAGAGAAGCTGGCTGTAGAGACCTGCAGACTGAGCCTACTCTACCAGGTCCCAGGAGGTTGTTAACTACCGATCCTGGGATCATAATAGTCCCGGTGTGTGTCTGGTCTACTGAGCCTGGTCTACTCTGCTTGTTATCTCAGCTATCTACATCTCTTCACAAGACAGAGGCTCCACTATTTCACTGTAGGTCTCATCTATTTCATTGTAGGTCTCATCTCTCGCCATCTGAATCATCATGTCTGTTTTATTTTATTTATTTTTATTTCACCTTTATTTAACCAGGTAAGCCAGTTGAGAACAAGTTCTCATTTACAACTGCGACCTGGCCAAGATAAAGCAAAGCAGTGCGATAAAAACAACAACAACACAGAGTTACATATGGAATAAACAAAACGTACAGTCAATAACACAATAGAAAATCTATATACAGTGTGTGCAAATGTAGTAAGTTATGGAGGTAAGGCAATAAATAGGCAATTTAGTATTAACACTAGAGTGATAGATGTGCAGAAGATGATGTGCAAATAGAGATACTGGGGTGCAAATGAGCAAAATAAATAACAATGTAAATAACAATATGGGGATGGTGCAGTGATCGGTAAGCTGCTCTGACAATTGATGCTTAAAGTTAGTGAGGGAGATAAGAGTCTCCAGCTATCGTTTAGGACCTTGAGCGTGGCTGAGGTGCACCCATGACCAGCTCGGAAACCAGATTGCATAGCGGAGAAGGTACGGTGGGATTCGAAATGGTCGGTGATCTGTTTGTTAACTTGGCTTTCAAATACTTTCGAAAGGCAGGGCAGGATGGATATAGTATTTGATACACTGCCGATTTTGCAGGTTTTCCTACTTACAAAGCATGTAGAGGTCTGTAATTTTTATCATAGGTACGGAATCTAAAACAAAAATCCAGAAAATCACATTGTATGATTTTTAAGTAATTAATTTGCATTTTATTGCATGACATAAGTATTTGATCACCTACCAACCAGTAAGAATTCCGGCTCTCACAGACCTGTTTGTTTTTCTTTAAGAAGCCCTCCTGTTCTCCACTCATTACCTGTATTAACTGCACCTGTTTGAACTCGTTACCTGTATAAAAGACACCTGTCCACACACTCAATCAAACAGACTCCAACCTCTCCACAATGGCCAAGACCAGAGAGCTGTGTAAGGACATCAGGGATACAATTGTAGACCTGCACAAGGCTGGGATGGGCTACAGGACAATAGGCAAGCAGCTTGGTGAGAAGGCAACAACTGTTGGCGCAATTATTAGAAAATTGAAGAAGTTCAAGATGAAGGTCAATCACCCTCGGTCTGGGGCTCCATGCAAGATCTCACCTCGTGGGGCATCAATGATCATGAGGAAGGTGAGGGATCAGCCCAGAACTACACGGCAGGACCTGGTCAATGACCTGAAGAGAGCTGGGACCACAGTCTCAAAGAAAACCATTAGTAACACACTACGCCATCATGGATTAAAATCCTGCAGCGCACGCAAGGTCCCCCTGCTCAAGCCAGCGCATGTCCAGGCCCGTCTGAAATTTGCCAATGACCATCTGGATGATCCAGAGCAGGAATGGGAGAAGGTCATGTGGTCTGATGAGACAAAAATAGAGCTTTTTGGTCTAAACTCCACTCGCCGTGTTTGGAGGAAGAAGAAGGATGAGTACAACCCCAAGAACACCATCCAAACCGTGAAGCATGGAGGTGGAAACATCATTCTTTGGGGATGCTTTTCTGCAAAGGGGACAGGACGACTGCACCTTATTGAGGGGAGGATGGATGGGGACATGTATCGCGAGATCTTGGCCAACAACCTCCTTCCCTCAGTAAGAGCATTGAAGATGGGTCGTGGCTGGGTCTTCCAGCATGACAACGACCCGAAACACACAGCCAGGGCAACTAAGGAGTGGCTCCGTAAGAAGCATCTCAAGGTCCTGGAGTGGCCTAGCCAGTCTCCAGACCTGAACCCAATAGAAAATCTTTGGAGGGAGCTGAAAGTCCGTATTGCCCAGCGACAGCCCTGAAACCTGAAGGATCTGGAGAAGGTCTGTATGGAGGAGTGGGACAAAATCCCTGCTGCAGTGTGTGCAAACCTGGTCAAGACCTACAGGAAACGTATGATCTCTGTAATTGCAAACAAAGGTTTCTGTACCAAATATTAAGTTCTGCTTTTCTGATGTATCAAATACTTATGTCATGCAATAAAATGCAAAATAATTACTTAAAAATCATACAATGTGATTTTCTGGATTTTTGTTTTTAGATTCTGTCTCTCACAGTTGAAGTGTACCTATAATAAAAATTACAGACCTCTACATGCTTTGTAAGTAGGAAAACCTGCAAAATCGGCAGTGTATCAAATACTTGTTCTCCCCACTGTAGGTCTGTAACAGTTTGGATCTAGAGTGTCACCCCCTTTGAAGAGCCGTAGCAAAATGCTTATTGAAATTCTCGATTATCGTAGATTTATCGGTGGTGACAGTGTTTCCTAGCCTCAGTGCAGTGGGTAGCTGGGAGGAGGGGCTCTTATTCTCCATGGACTTTACAGTGTCCCAAAACCTTTTGGAGTTAGTGCTACAGGATGCAAATTTCTGTTTGAAAAAGCTAGCCTTTGCTTTCCTAACTGATTGTGTATATTGGTTCCTGACTTCCCTGAATAGTTGCATATCGCGGGGGCTGTTCGATGCTAATGCAATACGCCACAGGATGTTTATGTGCTGGTCAAGGGCAGTCAAGTCTGGGGTGAACCAGGGGCTATATTTGTTCTTAGATCTGAATTTTTCGAATGTAGCTAGAAGAGGGATGTATCTCGCCTCTCATCACTCCTCGGTGTCTGTGGCTGTTCATTCATTATTCACTCCTCCGTTGAGAGGACATTCCTGATTTCCTGATTAATAACATACCAATCGATGATGCATTGATTGACTAATTGAGCTCCTCTCTCACCTGCCATCCTTAATGGATTGGTTACATTAAGACTGAGTGACTCAGTTATCGATCAGCAACATGTTCCATTAATATATGAATATGACACTACTGCTGCTGCTGAGGTATGGATGGCACCTCCAGTTTAGTAGATGAATGAGCTGTCATGATACCATACCTTATCACATCTCTCTTCTCTCTCTTCTCCCACTCTCTCTCTTTCCCTATCTCTCTCTCTCTCTGCCTTTCTCCCCATCTCCCTTTCTCCTCTCCCTCTCTCTGTCTCTGTTTCTCTCCCTCTATCCCTATCTCTGTCTATCTCTCTATTACTCCCCTCTCTGTAGAGTACGTTTAAGTTTAAGTCAGAGAGTGACATCCACCTGGCGGAGCACCATAAGCAGGTCCTGTATGATGGGAAGCTGGCCAGCTCCATCTCCTTCACCTACAACGCCAAGGCTACCGACGCCCAGCTCTGCCTGGAGTCATCGCCCAAGGAGAACACCTCCATCTTCGTCCACTCACCCCACGCCCTTATGCTACAGGTTAGTCTCACTACATGTTCTTATCCAGGTACAGATGCCGTCAAATATATTGGCACCCTTGCACTTTACAATGGAGTGCAATGGAGGTCAATTATCTGTTTTCTCTTTTTAAAACGGATAGAATTTTTACCCAAAAGTTTTTTCAATTTCAACTTATTTTAGAAGAAATAGTGAATTGTGCAAGGGTGACAATATATTTGACCGGTAACTGTAAGTCTCACTCCATATGCTTATAAAACAGGTTAGTCTCACCCCATGTCCTTTTAATACACGTATGATTAAGTTATAGTAAAATAACACTGTATTGTTCCCTGGTAGGATGTGAAGGCCATAGTGACCCACTCCATCCACAGTGCCATCCACTCAATAGGAGGGATCCAGGTGCTGTTCCCTCTCTTCTCCCAGCTGGACTACCATCAACCCAACGCCCAGCACAACTACCAGCACCATGAGACCCAGCTGGAGACTACCGTTTGGTGAGTACAGGAAATTTCTGACATCTTCAAGCGAGTGTCCGAGTCTTCTACTATGAGAATGTTGAGAATCAACTTTCTAATTTACCCCTCCCTGCTGATCCTTGTCCTGAAGGTCCAGTGTTGTCCTTGTCAGAGCGTCCCACTGAGCCCTGCGCCAATCAGAGCTCTGCCATAATCCTGATTTAGCTCAGTTACAGAGACCACACTGGGGAGACACACACACAGCAGCTCAGACCCAGGCACTGCAGTGCCTAGGGCCCTCTATCTGGTGCAGCCAGGGGCTAAGCCTGCTGGGTAGTGTTCCATCCCATCCCATACCAGCCCAGCCAAGCCAGCTAGTGAACTCTGAATGACTGTAGTGGTTCTGCTGCCTGTTCCAGTGAGTTTACCTCTAAACTAACTGATGAGTTAGCCTTAACGCAGGGATGCAAAGTTAGGACCCAAACATATGCTATGTGATGTGTGATTAACTCTACAATTTAAGATTTACAGATTGTCCTACTAAATTGTGAACGTAAATTCAATCAAGCAGTTACTCTATAAATGAGGAATGCATTTACTCAAATCAACTAACAGATTTATTAGTCACGAATGAATTAACACTCAATTACAGTGTACATGAAATACATTATACAGAATAAAACAGAGTAAACATCTATCACAAATAAGATTTACGTGCTTACATCTCTGAGAGAAAAAGTCTAATGTGTGTCTGTACACACATTGAGCTTGCAAACAAAGTCTTGATGAACCAAAAGAGACTCCGACCTTTTATCCTTGGAAAAACAGAAACTCACCTAAATTTAAATTTCTTTGCACTTTTCTGGGGGGAAACAAAAGGAAGGACATCACACTCGGATTCTAATCTAATTATCAAACTCCTAAATGTTAGTGTAACGACAGGACACCAGGAAGCTGCCCATCTGATAAGCGATCAGCCCATCATACAATTCTGACCAGTCTTTCTGAAAAGACATCAATCAGAACACGTACAGTACAACAAGACATATCAAACTGTTGAGCTCTTGAAACAATCCAAATATGACAATAATCCATTCACGAGGTCAGGTCCAATTTTAATCACTTTCAGACTTGAGGGCGGCGGGAACCAAATGGAGTCTCCTGTACTTCGTAGAAATGTCCCGCCCAGGGCTGCAGGTACGAGTAAGGATGTACCTCGCTCTTTGAAATGGTAAAACATGGTTATTTCTCTAGATTTAATAAACTACAGGACAAAATACAAACCCTCCAAACCAAAAAGGCCTGTGGTGTTGATGGTATCCTAAATGAAATGATAAAATATACAAACCACAAATTCCAATTGTCTATACTTAAACTCTTTAACATCATCCTGAGCTCTGGCATCTTCCCCAATATTTAGAACCAAGGACTGATCACCCCAATCCACAAAAGTGGAGACAAATTTGACCCCAATAACTACCGTGGGATATGCGTCAACAGCAACCTTGGGAAAATCTTCTGCATTATCATTAACAGCAGACTCGTACATTTCCTCAGTGAAAACAATGTACTGAGCAAATGTCAAATTGGCTTTTTACCAAATTACCGTACAACAGACCACATTCACCCTGCACACCCTAATTGACAAACAAACAAACCAAAACAAAGGCAAAGTCTTCTCATGCTTTGTAGATTTCAAAAAAGCTTTTGACTCAATTTGGCATGAGGGTCTGCTATACAAATTGATGGAAAGTGTTGTTGGGGGAAAAACATACGACATTATAAAATCCATGTACACAAACAACAAGTGTGCAGTTAAAATTGGCAAAAAACACACACTTTTCTTCCACAGGGCCGTGGGGTGAGACAGGGATGCTGCTTGAGCCCCATCCTCTTCAGCATATACAGTGCATTCGTAAATTATTCAGACCTCTTCACTTTTTCCACATTTTGTTACATTACAGGCTTAGTCTAAAATGGATTGAATAAAAATAATTCCTCATCAATCTACACACAATACACCATAATGACAAAGTAAAAACAGGTTTTTAGAAATTTTTGCGAATGTATTCAAAATAAAAAACGGAAATACCTTATTTACATAAGTATTCAGACCCTTTGCTATGAGATTCGAAATTGAGCTCCGGTGCATCCTGTTTCCATTGATCATCCTTGATGTTTCTACAAATTGATTGGAGTCCACCTGTGGTAAATTCAATTGATTGGACATGATTTGGAAAGGCACACACCTGTCTATATAAAGGTCCCACGGTTGACAGTGCATGTCAGAGCAAAAACCAAGCCATGAGGTTGAAAGAATTGTCCGTAGAGCTCCGAGACATGATTGTGTTGAGGTACAGATCTGGGGAAGGGTACCAAAACATTTCTGCAGCATTGAAGGTCCCCAAGAACACAATGGCCTCCATCATTCTTAAATGGAAGAAGTTTGGAACCACCAGCTGGCTGGGCCAAACTGAGAAATCGTGGGAGAAGGTCCCTGGTCAGGGAGGTGACCAAGAACCCGATGGTCACTCTGACAGAGCTCCACAGTTCCTCTGTGGAGATGGGAGAACCATTCAGAAGGACAACCCTCTCTGCAGCACTCCACCAATCAAACCTTTATGGTAGAGTGGCCAGACGGAAGCAACTCCTCAGTAAAAGGCACATGACAGCCCGCTTGGAGTTTGCCAAAAGGCACCTAAAGGACTCTCAGACCATGAGAAACAAGATTCTCTGGTCTGATGAAACCAAGATTGAACTCTTTGGCCTGAATGCCAAGTGTCACGTCTGGAGGAAACCTGGCACCGCTCATCACCTAGCTAATACCATCCCTACGGTGAAGCATGGTGGTGGCAGCATCATGCTGTGGGGATGTTTTTCAGCGGCAGGGACTGGGAGACTAGTCAGGATCGAGGGAAAGATGAACAGAGCAAATTTCTACAAATCTGTTTTTGCTTTGTCATTATGGGGTATTGTGTGTAGATTGATGAGGGGAAAAAACGATTTAATCCATTTTAGAATAAAGCTGTAACATAACAAAATGTGGAAAAAAGTGATGGGGTCTGAATACCTTCCGAATGCACTGTATATCAACGAATTGGCGAGGGAACTAGAACAATCTGCAGCACCCGGCCTCACCCTACTAGAATCTGAAGTAAAATGTCTACTGTTTGCTGATGATCTGATACTGTCAAGGCCTACAGCAGCACCTAGATCTTCTGAACAGATTATGTCAGACCTGGGCCCTGACAGTAAATCTCAGTAAGACAAAAATAATGGTGTTCCAAAAAAAGGTCCAGTTGCCAGGACCACAAATACAAATACACCATTGCCCTAGAGCACACAAAAAACTATACCTACCTCAGCCTAAACATCAGTACCACAGGTAACTTCCACAAAGCTGTGAACGATCTGAGAGACAAGGCAAGTAGGGCCTTCTACGCCATCAAAAGGAACATCAAATTCAACATCCCAATTAGAATCTGGCAAAAAATACTTTAATCAGTTATAGAACCCATTGGCCTTTATGGTTGTGAGGTCTGGGGTCCACTCACCAATCAAGAATTCACATAATGGGACAAACACCAAATTGAAACTATGCGTGCAGAATTCTGCAAAAACATCCTTTGTGTACAATGTAAAACACCAAATAATGCATGTAGAGCAGAATTAGGCCGATACCCGCTAATGATCAAAATCCAGAAAAGAGCCGTTAAATTCTACAACCACCTAAAAGTAAGAGATTCCCAAACCTTCCATAACAAAGCCATCACCTACAGAGAGATTAATCTAGAGAAGAGTCCCTTAAGCAAGCTGGTCCTGGGGCTCTGTTCACAAACAGACCCCACAGAGCACCAGGACAGAAACACAATTAGACCCAACCAAATCATAAGAAAAATATAATTACTTGACACATAGGAAAGAATTTACCGAAAAACAGAGCAAACTGGATTGCTATTTGGCCCTAAACAGCGAGTACATAGTGGCAGAATACCTGACCACTGTGACTGACCCAAAATTAAGGAAAGCTTTGACTATGTACATACTCAGTGAGCATAGCCTGGCTCTCAAGAGAAGACAGGCTATGTGCACGCTGCCCACAAAATGAGGTGGAAAAATGAGCTACACTTCCTAACCTCCTGCCAAATGTATGACCATATTAGAGACACATACAGTATTTCCATCAGATTACACAGACCCACAAAGAATTAGAAAACAAGTCCAATATCTATTGGGTGAAATACCAGTGTGCCATAACAGCAACAATATTTGTGACCTGTTGCCACAAGAAAAGGGCAACCAGTGAAGAACAAACACCATTGTAAATACAATCCATATTTTTGTTTATCTATTTTACTTGCTTTGGCAATGTAAACATATGTTTCCCATGCCAATAAAGCCTGTTGAATTTAATTGAATTAATGCCATGAATCGTGATTGACCACACGCTGTGCTGGTGCCAGTCAGTTGCAGATGCAGTCTGTATACAGAGTCTAAGAAGGTCATCATCTCTCCCCACTACACTGGCTCTTGTCCTGTAGAGCTGTGCGCTCATCACTGTGTCCTTGTGATGTTTCTGGACCTGGAGAGAGTCCCTCTGGAGGATGGGAGGAAAGCGGATTAGCGAGTGTCAGAGAGAGCCTCTGTCATACTGCCAAGACACAGTCACTCTGCCAGGACAGGCTTTAACTGAGGGACCCACTACAAAGAGAGTAACTGACCCCAATGCAGCAGTAAACAGCTCCTCCACTTCTTCTCAGAGGACACCATGTCTTTAGGATTAGAGACTGATAAAAGGACTAGGAGATGAGCCGGGGCTAGAAGATGAGGTTTGGAGCTGGGGCTAGGAGATGAGGCTGGGGCTAGGAGATGAGGCTGGGGCTAGGAGAGAAGGCTGGGGCTAGGAAATTAGGCTGGGGCTAGGAGAGAAGCCTGGCGCTAGGAGATGAGGCTGGGAGCTGGGACTAGGAGAGAAGCATGGGGCTAGGAGATGAGGCTGGGAGCTGGGACTAGGAGAGAAGCCTGGGGCTAGGAGATGAGGCTGGGAGCTGGGACTAGGAGAGAAGCATGGGGCTAGGAGATGAGGCTGGGAGCTGGGACTAGGAGAGAAGGCTGGGGATAGGAGATGAGGCTGGGAGCTGGGACTAGGAGAGAAGCATGGGGCTAGGAGATGAGGCTGGGAGCTGGGACTAGGAGAGAAGCATGGGGCTAGGAGATGAGGCTGGGAGCTGGGACTAGGATAGAATGCTGGGGATAGGAGATGAGGCTGGGAACTGGGGCTAGGAGAGAAGGCTGGGGATAGGAGATGTGGCAGGGAACTGGGGCTAGGAGAGAAGGCTGGGGATAGGAGATGTGGCAGGGAACTGGGGCTAGGAGAGAAGGCTGGGGATAGGAGATGTGGCAGGGAACTGGGGCTAGGAGAGAAGGCTGGGGATAGGAGATTAGGCTGGGAGCTGGGGGGTTAGGAGTCTCCAGTCTCCAGCTAATTGCTGACTTCCTCAGAAGATGACCTTGAATTAGCTTATCCTCTGTCTGTCCCTCTGTCTCTCTCCCTATCTCCAATTCTGCTACTGCCTTATATAATTTCCCCTTTCGACTACCTGACTGGTAGGATCTCAGAGGAACAGGGTTCACGCCTAGAGATGGTACAGGAGCATCTACACTGCTGAGACACAGACAGCCCTAGGACCACCATATTGTATGATGTAATGATGGTATTACACAGTAGAGGAGCACTTTATCTACATTTTGACACATTTGGCTTTTTATGTACACACTCCTGCACACCTCCTGATGTGTGTCCGTGTCCTTATAAACCTGTGTGTATGTGTGTTGCAGTGCCACCCTCCTGGTGTTCCTGGTTGACCTGTTGAAGAGTTCGGTGGCGATGCAGGAACAGATGCTGGGAGGGAAAGGATTCCTTGTAATCGGGTTTCTGCTGGAGAAGGTAGAAACTCTAACCTAAACCCTATAGCACACTGGTGATAAGGCATGGACTCTTTGTCATCTTCCATAGTTTTGTATGTACAATCGTGGTCAAAAGTTTTGAGAATGACACAAGTATTCATCTTCGCAAAGTTTGCTGCTTCAGTGTTTTTAGATATTTTTGTCAGATGTTACTATGGTATACTGAAGTATAATTACAAGCATTCCATAAGTGTCAAAGGCTTTTATTGACAATTACATTAAGTTTATGCAAAGAGTCAATATTTGCAGTGTTGACCCTTCTTTTTCAAGACCTCTGCAATCCGCCCTGGCATGCTGTCAATTAACTTCTGGGCCACATCCTGACTGATGGCAGCCCATTCTTGCATAATCAATGCTTGGAGTTTGTCAGAATTTGTGGGTTTTTGTTTGTCTACCCGCCTCCTGAGGATTGACCACAAGTTCTCAATGGGATTATGGTCTGGGGAGTTTCCTGGCCATGGACCCAAAATGTCGATGTTTTGTTCCCCGAGCCACTTAGTTATCACTTTTGCCTTATGGCAAGGTGCTCCATCATGCTGGAAAAGGCATTGTTCGTCACCAAACTGTTCTTGGATGGTTTGGAGAAGTTGCTCTCGGAGGATGTGTTGGTACCATTCTTTATTCATGGCTGTGTTCTTAGGCAAAATTGTGAGTGAGCCCACTCCCTTGGCTGAGAAGCAACCCCACACATGAATGGTCTCAGGATGCTTTACTGTTGGCATGACACAGGACTGATGGTAGCGCTCACCTTGTCTTCTCCGGACTAGCTTTTTTCCAGATGCCCCAAACAATCGGAAAGGGGATTCATCAGAGAAAATGACTTTACCCCAGTCCTCAGCAGTCCAATCCCTGTACCTTTTGCAGAATATCAGTCTGTCCCTGATGTTTTTCCTGGAGAGGTGGCTTCCTCGCTGCCCTTCTTGACACCAGGCCATCCTCCAAAAGTCTTCGCCTCACTGTGCGTGCAGATGCACTCACACCTGCCTGCTGCCATTCCTGAGCAAGCTCTGCACTGTTGGTGCCCCAATCCCGCAGCTGAATCAACTTTAGGAGACGGTCCTGGCGCTTGCTGGACTTTCTTGGGCGCCCTGAAGCCTTCTTCACAACAATTGAACCTCTCTCCTTGAAGTTCTTGATGATCTGATAAATGGTTGATTTAGGTGCAATCTTACTAGCAGCAATATCCTTGCCTGTGAAGGCCTTTTTGTGCAAAGCAATGATGACGGCACGTATTTCCTTGCAGGTAACCGTGGTTAACAGAGGAAGAACAATGATTTCAAGCACCACCCTCCTTTTAAAGCTTCCAGTCTGTTATTCTAACTCAATCAGCATGACAGAGTCATCTCCAGCCTTGTCCTCGTCAACACTCTCACCTGTGTTAACGAGAGAATCACTGACATGATGTCAACTGGTCCTTTTGTGGCAGGACTGAAATGCAGTGGAAATGTTTTTTGGGGATTAAGTTCATTTTCATGGTAAAGGAGGGACTTTGCAATTAATTGCAATTCATCTGATCACTCTTCATAACATTCTGGAGTATATACAAATTGCCATCAGGCAGCAGACTTTGTGAAAATTAATATTTGTGTCATTCTCCAAACGTTTGACCACAACTGTATATACTGCTTTGCTATGATGTTGTGGCTATATGGGTTTTTAATGATCCAATAATTTCAATCAATCAATTAAATCAATACATCATACATTGTACCTCAAATGGCACGCTATTCCCCATATAGTGCACCACATTTTACCAAAGCTACAGGGTTTGGTTTGGCCTAATAGGGCTCTGATCAAAAGGTAGTGCACTATATAGGGAGTAGAGTGCAATTTAAGTTTACCCGTTCTTACTTTCTATGGTGTGCCTGGCAACAGCTGATGACAGTTATTTATAGATAGATATCTTTCAACCAATGTCCCTTAATATTCTGTAGTTCAAAGCCTCTTTACTCCTCACTCTCAGTCAAAGGATATCAGAGGAGGACCAGAAATAGATCCATAGCTCTGAAACAGACAGGGACACAACAGAGCATCAGCCAGTCATGCAGACTCTGTAATGTTGTTTGAAACATGGAGCCCAGTAGCCCTCAGACTGATATGATCAAACCACAGATAAAAGAACAGAGCAGAGAGGCACAGAGGTGAGGAAGAAGAATCCACTTTCTGTTTTGAAGGGTATGTAGCCTCACTGCTTCCCCAGCCAGCCGCAGTCAGGCTGTGTCCAAATTGGCATCCTATTCCCTACATAGTGCACTTATTTTGACCAGAGCCCTATGTGGCCTTTTTGGACGCAGACAGACTGTCCTGTAGCATCCTGACATCTATCCATCGGAGTCCAGCAGAGCCCAGAGCTCAGGGCCAGGAACAGGTGGCTGTAACAGGGGCCAGGCGGGGGAAACACTTTATCACTCTCTCTCTCTCTCTGTCTTTGTCGCTCTCTCTTTCTCTCCTCTCCCTCCCGCTGCCAGCTCTCTCACACTCACACCATCCTGCCATCTGGTTTAGATCTGTTTTATACCACAGCTAGAATATTAGGAGATACTACCTCTACCTGGTCAGGAGACATGTGACAGAAAGACAGACAACAATAATAACAGAAGGACTCCTGGATGCTCAGTCAAATGCTCTCAAACTTTGCTTGTTTGGTGAAATGTCTATACATCCCAGTTGACTACTTCAAAATGGTGAAACTTCTCAATGGCACTGCCCATGCTAAAACAGGCTTTGTGGCAAGTGAACCCTCTATCCAACTCTATGGTTGGCAAGAGTTATATGTTATCGATTGATTGATTTATTGATTGATTGACTGGTTGATTGATTGATTGAGTATCCAGTGGTCTGACCATTCCCTGTGCCTCCAGTCCTCCAGGGTCCACATCACGCGTGCGGTCCTGGAGCAGTTCCTGTCCTTCGCTAAGTACCTGGACGGGTTAACCCATGGAGCGCCACTCCTCAAACAGCTCTGTGACCACATCCTGTTCAACGCAGCCATCTGGATACACACCCCCGCCAAGGTAAGCCCTGCGCCCACACCCCTGCCAAGGTAAACTCCATCCGCACACCCCCCGTCAAGGTAGACCTCGTCCCCATAAAGGTGAGCTCCACCCAATCTGGTTCCACTGGGTCCAGGTAGCTTCTTGGTAACCCACCTGAGTTCTGACTCACTGAAGACTGTTTAGAGCATTACTCACTACTACCATGATCCATTATCAGGGACCTGATATTAGTGGATATTTTCTCCTCTGGATTGAAGACTTCACCACTGACTGAGGTTTACTGCCTGCTGTCACAATCAGCTCCTCAGCCCTGAGAAGAATCTAAAAGTTAAAGAGTGAAAATACGTAAGGACCCGTGAAGAAGTGGATGAGGCGGATCAGAGGAGCTGGGTTGTGTGGAGAATCCCTTCTCCTCACTGACACCGCCGCTGGTGGCTCTTATGAATAAATATAGAACAGTTGAAGGGAAATGTCTCAGGAGTTGTGGCCAATCTCTCACGAGAGAGAGAGAGAGAGAGAGAGAGAGAGAGAGAGAGAGAGAGAGAGAGAGAGAGAGAGAGAGAGAGAGAGAGAGATCTGTTAGATGGAATGTGTAGGATTATTGTCCAGTCTATTGCTAATTACGGAGGCTGTATTAATGTGACAGAGCGGAGCGGTGGAGAGGACATGAGAGGGGGGCGAGGAGAGGAGACTATTATAGTGTGTTCTAATAGAGTGTAATGTGGGGTCAGCCACAGCAGCTCACTGTTCTACACCTGCAGGGACGATGATGGGCTCAGCTCAGCTCGAACCTCTTTAATACAGCATTCACTTAATACAACCAGTTCACAGCCTTAATATAATGCCTGGAGGATTATACCTGATAGCTATATTTATGTAGAATCACTGGGTATAGGTTAATAGTTTGTTTGTTTGTTTGTGTGTGTGTGTGCATTCGTGCGTGCGTGCGTGTACTCTCCCCTCAGGTCCAGCTCTCTCTGTACACGTACCTGTCTGCAGAGTTTATCGGCACGGCAACCATCTACACCACCATCCGTCGTATTGGGACAGTCCTGCAGCTGATGCACAGTCTGAAGTACTACTACTGGACCTGCAACCCTGAGGCCAGCAGTGGCATTACACCTAAAGGACTGGGTAAACACACACACACACACACACACACTCACACATCCCAGGTCCAGAGATGACAGGTATCTTCTCTCTGTGTAGTAACAGGCTGCCATGAGGCAGCTGTCTGCTGTGTTGGAAGTCAAAGTCCCCCTGAACTGTCATGTCATCTTCCTCTCTCAGGTTTCCTCTCTGAAACTATTCAGAAGGCTCAGAGGGCCAGGTTCTGATACAGGCCTATATGGTTGGAAGCAGTACTGTATATATCCTACTAGTCAAGTTAGAACAGTGCTGATAAACCAGGTCTATCTCTCAAATGGCATCCTATAGCGCTCCGGGCAAAAGTAGTGTACTATGTAAGGAATAGGGTGCCATTTGGACGTAACCACAAGAGAGAAGTGCAGTGTATTCCACAGAGGAAGTAGATGTGTATTAACTGTGTAATGAATAGTTGATGCAATAGCTTAGCCTCTATTGACAGAGTTCACATGGTTAATGATTTCCCATGAAGCCCAGAAACCAGAAAACACCATGACCGTTAATCAGCAGTAGGCTGGAGAATGTTGCCAGAGCTACAAACCAGTTCTATATGAAATATTGAGCAGAGCTACAGTGCATATCTATGTGAAGTAGGATACTGAGTGTGTTTGTCTGTGGTAGGGAGAGTTATATATAGACAGCGCTGGAACGTTCTGCTGCGTTTCTACTCTGATCTGGGGAAGGGTTTGGACATTCTGGGCAGTTTAGTTTTTCCGCTTTTACTGATGTTGGTGAATAATAGATATTGTGTTATAGATTGCTTGTTTTGGGTGTTCTTACTAACATCATGGCCTGTTTTGCTTTAGTATGTGTTGCAAAAACAGTGAGACAAACAATACTAGTATATAAGATATTTGGTGAAGTTAGTAGCCATGTTCTGTTTGTTGGAGTTAGTAGCCATGTTCTGTTTGTTGAAGTTAGTAGCCATGTTGTTTCTCTTCAGTCAGGGTTGTTCAGCTAGACAATGAAACACAGCAGAAAACACAGCTACTCTCTCCTAGTAGAGACACCTGTTGGGGGGTTTGTGTGTAGAATATAATCCAGATTTGTGAAACAACTGTCTGTTATGTAACAAACAGACTATCTTTCTAGTTTCTAGTTAATCTTCCTGGTAATGTGTTCCTTAAATTAACTGTCACGTTGTATAATGATTTGAAGACAGGCACAGGAATATGTATTAGGGGTTTTATTTATTCCACCCAACACAAACACGTGTATATACACTATCGGTCAAAAGTTTTAGAGCACCTACTCATTCAAGAGTTTTTCTTTATTTTTACTATTTTCTACATTGTAGAATTATAGTGAAGACATCGAAACTATGAAATAACACATATGGAATCATGTAGTAACCAAAAAAGTGTTAAACAAATCAAAATATATTTTATATTTGAGATTCTTCAAATAGCCACCCTTTGCCTTGATGACAGCTTTGCACACTCTTGGCATTCTCTCAACCAGCTTCAACTGGAATGCTTTTCCAACAGTCTTGATGGAGTTCCCACATATGCTGAGCACTTGTTGGCTGCTTTTCCTTCACTCTGCGGTCCGACTCATCCCAAACCATCTCAATTTGGTTGAGTTCGGGGGATTGTGGAGGCCAGGTCATCTGATGCAGCACTCCATAACTCCTTTTTGTTATAATAGCCCTTACACAGCCTGGAGGTGTGTTGGGTCATTGTCCTGTTGAAAAACAAATGATAGTCCCAGTAAGCCCAAACCAGATGGGATGGTGTATCGATGCAGAATGCTGTGGTAGCCATGCTGGTTAAGTGTGCCTTGAATTCTAAATAAATCACATACAGTGTCACCAGCAAAGCACCCCACACCATAACACCTCCTCCTCCATGCTTTACGGTGGGAAATACACATGCGGAGATCATCCGTTCACCCACACCGCGTCTCACAAAGACACGGCGGTTTGAACCAAAAATATCAAATTTGGACTCCAGACCAAAGGACACATTTCCACCGGTCTAATGTCCATTGCTTGTGTTTCTTGGCCCAAGCAAGTCTCTTCTTCTTATTGGTGTCCTTTAGTAGTGGTTTCTTTGCAGCAATACGACCATGAAGGCCTGATTCACACAGTCTAATTTATTTGGGCTGCAATTTCTGAGGTGCAATTACTCTAATGAACTTATCCTCTGCAGCGGAGATAACTCTGGGTCTTCCTTTCCTGTGGTGGTCCTCATGAGAGCCAGTTTCATCATAGCGCTTGATGGTTTTTGCGACTGCACTTGAAGAAACTTTCAAAGTTCTTGAAATGTTCCGTATTGACTGACCTTCATGTCTTAAAGTAATGATGGACTGTCGTTTCTCTTTGCTTATTTGAGCTGTTCTTGACATAATATGAACTTGGTATTTTACCAAATAGGGCTATCTTCTGTATACCCACCCTACCTTGTCACAACACAAGTGATTGGCTCAAACACATTAAGAAGGAATGAAATTCCACAAATTAACTTTTAAGAAGGCATACCTGTTAATTGAAATGCATTCCAGTTGACTACCTCATGAAGCTGGTTGAAAGAATGGCAAGTGTGCAAAGGTGTCATCAAGGCAAAAGGTGGCTATTTGAAGAATCTCAAATATAAAATATATTTTGATTTGTTTTAACACCTTTTTGGCTACTACATGATTCCATATGTGTTATTTCATAGTTTTGATGTCTTAACTATTATTCTACAATGTAGAAAATAGTAAAAATAAAGAAAAACCCTTGAATAATAATATGCCATTTAGCAGACTCTTTTATCCAAAGCGTCTTACAGTCATGTGGGCATACATTTTTATGTATGGGTGGTCCCGGGGATCGAACCCACTACCCTGGCGTTACAAGTGCCATGCTCTACCAATTGAGCTACAGAGGACCAGTAGGTGTTCTAAAACTTTTGACCGGTAGTGTATATACAAAAGAGAAAACAGGTGCCTCACTGCGGTGGCGGTCGACGCACGGCCCGCTGGAGACGAGTGTGCGCAGCGTTCCAGATCTCCTCAGCGCGCCGAAACCACTCGTCCACCTCAGGGGCCTCGGTCTGGCTCGGATGCCAAGGTGCAAGGGCCGGCTGATACCCCAACACGCACTGGAAAGGAGTGATGTTAGTGGAGGAGTGGCGGAGGGAATTCTACTCGTACTCAGCACAAGGTAGAAAATCCACCCACTCCACCGGCCGATCCTGACAGTAACACCACGGGAACCTGCCCACTTCCTGATTGACCCTCTCCACCTGCCCATTAGCCTGAGGACGATACCCGTAGGTGAGACTGACCGTGATACCCAGGCGTTCCATGAACGCTTTCCATACGCGTGAGGTGAACTGAGGACCACGGTCTGACACAATGTCCTCCGGGATCCCGTAGTGCCGGAAGACGTGCGTAAAAAGAGCCTCCGCAGTTTGCAGAGCCTCCGCAGTTTGCATGGCCGATGGCCAGTTTGCATGGAGGCGACAAGCTTTGGAAAACCGGTCCACAACAACGAGAACGGCGGTGTTCCCCTGGGAGGGGGGAAGGTCAGTGACAAAGTCCAACGAGAGGTGAGAACAGGGTTGTTGTGGAGCCGGCAGGGGGAGGAGCTTTCCATAAGGGAGGAGTCTGGGTGTCTTAGACTGGGCACAGATGGAGCAGGAAGAGACGTAAACCCTGACGTCCCTAGCCAAGGTGGGCCACCAGTACTTCTCAGTCAGGCAGGCGATGGTACGGCCTATCCCAGGATGACCCGACTAAGGCGGCGTGTGCGCCCAGGAAAGGAGGCGGTCTCGCACACCCGTGGACACGTAGGCACGGTTCTCCGGGCACTGTGCAGGTGCCGGTTCCGTACGCAGGGCCTGCCATATGTCGGCGTCCACGTCCCACACCAGTCCAGGGCCCGTCCGGTCAGTGCCGAGATGACTGTGGCAATCCTGTCTCTCCCGGAGACAGCCTCGGCGTAGCGACCGAGGTACAGGTTGCATTGCAGAAGGAAATCCCTTGCATCTCGCTGGAGTGCCGTCAGAGCGCTCCGGGAGGGACAGGGGTATTCCGCTGACCGGCTCAGATGGAACAGAGGCCGGTAGTGGTGGTGTGGGGGCTGGTGCCGGAACCAGTGCTGGAGACTGGAGGGACTGCACTTTCCCCTCCAACCGCAGGATGGTTGCCAGCACGCTGTCCATGGCGCTGCCGAGTCTGGAGAGACAGTCCTCGTGATGCTGGACTATCTCTACAATGGTCGCCAGCTCTTCCCGCTGTCTCCATTTTTATGGGTTGATTATTCTGTCACGTTGTATAATGATTTGAAGACAGGCGCAGGAATACGTATTAGGGGTTTATTTACTCCACCCAACACAAACACGTATATACAGTGGGGAGAACAAGTATTTGATACACTGCCGATTTTTCAGGTTTTCCTACTTACAAAGCATGTAGAGGTCTGTAATTTTTATCATAGGTACACTTCAACTGTGAGAGACGGAATCTAAAACAAAAATCCAGAAAATCACATTGTATGATTTTTAAGTAATTAATTTGCATTTTATTGCATGACATAAGTATTTGATACATCCGAAAAGCAGAGCTTAATATTTGGTACAGAAACCTTTGTTTGCAATTACAGAGATCATATGTTTCCTGTAGGTCTTGACCAGGTTTGCACACACTGCAGCAGGGATTTTGGCCCACTCCTCCATACAGACCTTCTCCAGATCCTTCAGGTTTCGGGGCTGTCGCTGGGCAATACGGACTTTCAGCTCCCTCCAAAGATTTTCTATTGGTTTCAGGTCTGGAGACTGGCTAGGCCACTCCAGGACCTTAAAATGCTTCTTACGGAGCCACTCCTTAGTTGCCCTGGCTGTGTGTTTCGGGTCGTTGTCATGCTGGAAGACCCAGCCACGACCCATCTTCAATGCTCTTACTGAGGGAAGGAGGTTGTTGGCCAAGATCTCGCGATACATGGTCCCATCCATCCTCCCCTCAATACGGTGCAGTCGTCCTGTCCCCTTTGCAGAAAAGCATCCCCAAAGAATGATGTTTCCACCTCCATGCTTCACGGTTGGGATGGTGTTCTTGGAGTTGTACACATCCTTCTTCTTCCTCCAAACACGGCGAGTGGAGTTTAGTTTAGTTTTTTGTCTCATCAGACCACATTACCTTCTCCCATTCCTCCTCTGGATCATCCAGATGGTCATTGGCAAACTTCAGACGGGCCTGGACATGCCCTGGCTTGAGCAGGGGGACCTTGCGTGCGCTGCAGGATTTGAATCCATGACGGCGTAGTGTGTTACTAATTGTTTTCTTTGAGACTCTGGTCCCAGCTCTCTTCAGGTCATTGACCAGGTCCTGCCGTGTAGTTCTGGGCTGATCCCTCACCTTCCTCATGATCATTGATGCCCGACGAGGTGAGATCTTGCATGGAGCCCCAGACCGAAGGTGATTGACCGTCATCTTGAACTTCTTCCATTTTCTAATAATTGCGGCAACAGTTGTTGCCTTCTCACCAAGCTGCTTGCCTATTGTCCTGTAGCCCATCCCAGCCTTGTGCAGGTCTACAATTTTATCCCTGATGTCCTTACACAGCTCTCTGGTCTTGGCCATTGTGGAGAGGTTGGCGTCTGTTTGATTGAGTGTGTGGACAGGTGTCTTTTAGACAGGTAACGAGTTCAAACAGGTGCAGTTAATACAGGTAATGAGTGGAGAACAGGAGGGCTTCTTAAAGAAAAACTAACAGATCTGTGAGAGCCGGAATTCTTACTTGTTGGTAGGTGATCAAATACTTATGTCATGCAATAAAATGCAAATTAATTACTTAAAAATCATATAATGTGATTTTCTGGATTTTTGTTTTAGATTCCGTCTCTCACAGTTGAAGTGTACCTATGATAAAAATTACAGACCTCTACATGCTTTGTAAGTAGGAAAACCTGCAAAATCGGCAGTGTATCAAATACTTGTTCTCCCCACTGTATATACAAAAGGGATGTAACCAAACAAAGAGCGAGGTGTAACCTCTACACAATACACAGGACGAGACCCGTAAACAACAAGAGCACTATACACAGTACTCACGAGACCAATGGACATGGGACAAGACAGTCCGGGGTTGGTGGTAATGATCCATGTCAGTGACGCCTAGAAAGCCGGTGATGTAGACCTCCGGAACTGGTGAACGGAATGAGCAGCAGTACTGGGGGGATCCATGACATTAACAGAAGTGTAAGTCTGGACTCTGTTCAAAAGTAGTACACTACAAAGGGAATAGGGTGCCAATTGGGATGCAGACAATATTTTGCTGATTGTTCTGGAATCCCTGTGGGAGGAATGAAAGAGAGGAACAGTATAGTTGGTAAAATAGTGAGGACAGTGTCCTCACCAGAACCTGGAGGTAATTTTATGATCATTCTATTTCCATTAGATCTGGTTTTCCTTTGTCTCAGACCACTGTGGTGTTGACTCTAGATAGGGAGAGAGATAAAGGGAAAGGGAGATAGGGAGAGAGCTAGTAGATAATCAATTGTTCAATTATAAGAACAAAGAGATGGTGGTTGGAACAGAGCTGCTGCTGCAGGGACACTCTGGCTTCATCCCAAATGGCACCCTATTCCCTATATAGTGCACTACTTTTAACCAGGGCCCATAGGTAAAAGTAGTGGACTATGTAGGGATTGTAGGGAATATAGTGCCATTTGGGACGCAGCCACACTTTGTCTCTGGAGATGTTGCTGCTGGTTTCTCTGGGCATCTGTAAATAGAGAGCCATCAAATTAAACCAATGCATCAACCTCTCACAGACAGCCACTGCAGTGCAGGCTTAATTTCTCTCATTCCCTAACATGCGCTCGCACACACACAATCTCTCTCAATTCAATTCAATTCAATTTAAGGGATTTATTGGCATGGGAAACGTGTGTTAAAATTGCCAAAGCAAGGGAAGTAGATAGTAAACAAAAGTGAAATAAACAATAAATATTAACAGTAAACATTACACTCAGAAGTTTCAAAAGAATAAAGACATTTCAAATGTCATATTATGTATATATACAGTGTTGTAACAATGTGCAAATAGTTAAAGTACAAATGGGAAAATAAATAAACATAAATATGGGTTGTATTTACAATGGTGTTTGTTCTTCACTGGTTGCCCTTTTCTTGTGGCAACAGGTCACAAATCTTGCAGCTGTGATGGCACACTGTGGTTTTTCACCCAGTAGATAAGGGAGTTTATCAAAATTGGGTTTGTTTTCGAATTCTTTGTGGATCGCTGTAATCTGAGGGAAATATGTGTCTCTAATATGGTCATACATTTGGCAGGAGGTTAGGAAGTGCAGCTCAGTTTCCACCTCATTTTGTGGGCAGTGTGCACATAGCCTGTCTTCTCTTGAGAGCCAGGTCTGCCTACGGCGGCCTTTCTCAATAGCAAGGCTATGCTCACTGAGTCTGTACATAGTCAAAGCTTTCCTTAAGTTTGGGTCAGTCTCTCTCTCTCTCTCTCTCTCTCTCTCTCTCTCTCTCTCTCTCTCTCTCTCTCTCTCTCTCTCACGCTCTCTTGCTCTGTCAGTCCAGAGTGCAGACATGTCTCTCTCTACCTCCAGCTCTCCAGGTCTAGTTAAGGGGGTGTTGTTGTGCTGGACTGTTGTCTGGGTCTGTGCTGACTGGAGTGTGTTCACCTGCTGTTCCAGCTCCACCTGCCTTAGACACACAGTCTGTTGATCCTGCTCCTCTTATGTAGTCACATCCTCTGAAGTCGAATTTCTAATTTCAGGTCTCCACGCTCCCAGCGTCTGGAACTGATCCATTTGGATAAGAGCCATAACAATATTGTCTACATTCCAAATGGCACCCTATTCCCTACACAATGCACTACTTTTTAACAGAGCCCTATGAGGCACTATAAGGAATAGTGTGCCATTTTGGACTCAGCTAATATTGTCTCATCTTGCACATGGCTGAGAACCTGTGTATCCTCACAGTAATAACAATGAGTATTGATCAATATTATCCAAAGCTATTACTGCCTGCTTTATCTGAACCAAGCCAAGGGTGAAAGTGAAATGAGTTCAATTTCCTAAGTCTCTATAATAGGATGTGTGTAGGATGCACACTCATGATTGCTATGGATTAATTACCAGTCCAGTCACACTGACTCACTGTAGTGAGGAGGAGAAAGTGGATTTCTGCATTAATAACACAAACATAAATAATTTATCAATAAAGTGAACCTTATCGTCCTCCTGCCCAATACCCTCAGGGCAGGTGGACTGAACCAACCAATGAGAGCCTGAGGATCAACAGTCCATGAATGTAATTGGTTGTGATTAAGTTGGATGCAGAATGTGGATGCAGCTGTGTTGTTAATGATACTGTTATCTAGCGACTTGTTCTGTCCCTGTACTGTGTTCTCAGATGGCTTTCTATTAATCAGTGTCACAAGGAGCTCAGGGAACCTGTGTTGAAGGGGTTCCATTGATTTCTGAGGGGAAACAGGACAGTCAGATGTTGTGTTACATTGTGTCTGACAGCAGAGGACTATCCTCACTCTGGGAGACATTGTCATATGTCTTGTGTGTAAATTAATAGCTCTGTGTTATTGATCTCTCTGTGGCAGCAACCTGTCCACGTACACTATATATACAAAAGTATGTGGACAACCCTTCAAATGAGTGGATTCGGCTATTTCAGCCACAACCGTTGCTGACAGGTATATAAAATCGAGCACACAGCCATGCAATCTCCATAGCCAATTATTGGCAGCAGAATGGCCTTACTGAAGAGCTCAGTGACTTTCAACGTGGCACCGTCATAGGATGCCACCTTTCTAACAAGTCAGCTTGTCAAATTTCTGCTCTGCTAGAGCTGCCCCAGTCACCTGTAAGTGCTTATTGTAAAGTGGAAACATCTAGGAGCAAGGCTCACCTGCGCAATGGTAGGCCATACAAGCTCACAGAGCGGGACCGCCGAGTGCTGAAGCACGTAGCGCCTTAAAATCGTCTGTCCTTGGTTGCAACAACACTCACTACCGACACAAGAACAGTTCGTCGGGAGCTTCATAAAATGGGTTTCCATGGCCGAAGATCACCATGCGCAATGCAAAGCGTCGGCTGGAGTGGTGTAAAGCTCGCCGCCAGTGGAAACGCATTCTCTAGAGTGATGAATCACGCTTCACCATCTGGCAGTCCGACGGACAAATCTGGGTTTGGCGGATGCCAGGAGAACGCTACCTGCCCCAATGAATAGTGCCAACTGTAAAGTTTGGTGGAGGAGGAATAATGGTCTGGGGCTGTTTTTCATGGTTCGGGCTATGCCCCTTAGTTCCAGTGAAGGGAAATCTTAACGCTACAGCATACAATTACATTCTAGACGATTCTGTGCTTCCAACAGTTTGTGGAAAGGCCCTTTCCTGTTTCAGCATGACAATGTCCCCGTGCACAAAGCGAGGTCCGTACAGAAATGGTTTGTTGAGATCAGTGTGGAAGAACTTGACTGGCCTGCACAGAGCCCTGACCACAACCCCATCGAACACCTTTGGGATGAATTGGAATGCCAACATAAGTGCCCGACCTCACTAATGCTCTTGTGGCTGAATGGAAGCAAGTTACCGCAGCAATGTTCCAACATCTAATGGAAAGCCTTCCCAGAAGAGTGGAGGCTGTTATAGCAGCAAAGGGGGGACCAACTCCATACTAATGCCCATGATTTTGGAATGAGATGTTCAATGAGCAGGTGTCCACATACTTTTGGTCATGTACAGTATTTACTGGACGCTCTCACATACAATATGTCTTAAAACCACAGAGCAGAGTGAAGTTAATGTTAATAGATGTTGTATCAGAGCCTAGTGTTGGGCTGCAGCTGTAATCAATAACCAACCGTCTGTGTGCGTGCGTGCGAGCGAGCGTTATTGATCCCAGTGACTCAGTCTGTGTTTGTCCTCAGATGGTCCAAGGCCCACCCAGCAGGAGATCATCTCTCTCAGGGCTTTCATGTTGCTGTTCCTCAAACAACTCATCCTCAAGGTACTGCACACACACATACACACACACACACGTACCTCAACTCCAAAACAAAAACAGTTTGATTATTATCTCCACCAGAGAAAGGCATCATGGGTAATTGCTCTTGAACCATAATGTCCAATCAGCATGCAGGTTCAGGTCTGTCCGTGTTGTGTTCAAATCAATTGCTTAGCTTCAACAACATGGCAGCAGGCTCCATTTCTGCCACAACTACCACCCCCCAATGGCCTAGGTCTGCAGCCCGTGGCCACTACAGAATTTAAACAACGGTGGGAAAATAAACAGGCTACTAATAAAACATATCTACAATTCTGAACAGCATCAGCTACACACAGACACACACACACACACACACACGCACACACGCACACATACAGCTCAAACAGCAATTAACTTCCAATCTGTTCCTGCAGAGAGTCTGGTTCCTCATCAGAAGTGTTTGAACTTTACATCACTGTAAAGTCTCGGAACAACAGGAGACTGGGGAACAAACACTGAACATGCTGAAAACGTGTGTGTAATTTCTTAGGACCGAGGCGTGAAGGAGGATGAGCTGCAGAGTATCCTGAACTACCTGCTAACCATGCATGAGGTGAGTTTCAAGTCCCCATGGTCTTGTGCTGTAGTGGTATAGGGTTGAGAGGTCTGTCCACATTGATGATGCTCTACTGTATGGTGCTATATCTCTTCGAGTCGGAGGAGAGAGGGGAAGAAAAGGCTCAAAACACCAAAAAAGGAAAAAACCCAAGGAGAAGAGAGCGCCGAGAAGCGCTAGAGCGACTCTCATGCGAGAGGAGAGAGCGGCGAAGACCCCACTCAACCCGCCCCATCCTCTCCCCACACCCCCTCCCGCACCCCCCCACTCTCTCTCCCTCTCTCACCCCCCTCTCTCTCTCTCTCCCCTCACACTCTCCCCCTCACTCTCTCCTCTCTCTCTCTCTCTCTCTCTCTCTCTCTCTCTCTCTCTCTCTAGGATGATAATATCCATGATGTTCTTCAGCTGGTAGTGGCTCTGATGTCAGAACACCCAGCCTCCATGATTCCAGCCTTCGACCAGAGGAACGGCATACGGTACACACACACACACACACACACAGCCCTTGGGGAACAAAGCCCCCTTGCTATTGATGCACAAAATGCATGTAATAACATCACATCTCTAACAATGAAGCTAGTGTTGTGAATATACATGATACCTGTTGAATAATTCACATATTCTGTAAGTAGAAATCTACATAGAAATGTTATGACGCTGATGATCAAACGTACTGTATGCCCTGTGTGTTCTATGAAATATACATGTATATCAGCCACTGACTCCTGCAGAGTTCTCAGAATCTTCACTGCAGGAAATTGAATGGCTCCGTTTTGATCAGGAAACAAATTTAGTCATCACACTGACAAACAGACACTCAACGCAGACAGGGAGGTCTTTCCCTGCACACCCGACTAGTTCAGTCTGGTTTCATTGTATACGTCCCAGCACTCTATTCCCTTTATAGTGCGCTACTTATGACCAGAGCCCATAGGGGACACAATCATTAACTGGGCCATATTTAAATGTGATTCATATGTCTCCTGTCCTGTTCCAGGGTGATGTACAAGCTGCTGGCCTCTAAGACTGAGAGCATCAGAGTCCAGTCCCTCAAAGTCCTGGGATACTTCCTCAAACACCTGGGACACAAGTTAGTTATTTTCCCTCCCTCCCTCCCTCCCTCAATGAAAGACTGTCCCCAAGAGAGGTCTGGATCTATGAAATATATTATCTTCTTCTCCTCTCGTCTCTTCTTCTCTTCTCCCCTCTTCTCTTCTCTTAAAATAAGTATTGTCTGAAGTGTAAAACTGTCGTCCAGGGACTTCTAACAGGGTTACTGTGTGTGTGTCTGTCCACAGAAGGAAGGTTGAGATCATGCACACACACAGTCTCTTCACTCTCCTGGGGGAGAGGCTGATGCTTCACACTAATACTGTGTCTGTGACCATCTACAACACGCTGTACGAGGTACGTTCTTCTTTGTAACTTCTCTATAACTACCCACACACATACTTCTTCTTCAGGGATCCCTCGTAGTTGAGTATGATTTCCCTCCAGGTGTCACTGCTCCGGGTTGCGTTGTGGGTCTGGCTGGCCATGGGTCCTGAGATGGCTGAACAGGCCAATGCGTGACCTGCAGATCTTGTGGCAGTGGGGTCAGAGATGGTTATAACCTCGTGCTAATAACCTCATATAACCTCATGATATCCACTCCACTGTCCTGTTTGAAGCAGAGACTACCGTGGTGCATCCCAAATGACACCCTATTCCCTATTTAGTGATTGTCTGTGTTCTTCCCATCAGATCCTGACGGAGCAGGTGTGTACACAGGTCGTCCACAAACCCCACCCTGAACCAGACTCTACAATCAAGATACAGAACCCCAGTAAGTCTGTCTGCTGTCTTACTGAATGTTATTGTAGTCAAGTCAAACTTGATTTAAAGTGCAGACTTAGCAAAGTCATGTGTATGTGTGTGTGTTCCAGTGATCCTTAAGGTAGTAGCGACCCTGTTGAAGAGCTCGTCCCCCAGCGTTGAGCTGATGGAGGTTCGACGTCTCTTCCTCTCAGACATGATCAAACTGTTCAGCAACAGCCGCGAAAACCGACGGTGAGGACATGCACGCACGCACACACACACGCATGCACACACACACACACACACACACACAGTCACTCTATAATTTACAGCTGTGTAATGACTCTTCCCAGCAGTGACAGCACTGTTAGCATCCTGTTGTCAGTATCTTCAGGCGTCAATGATAAATCATTCAAGCGATATTGATGGTATAACTGATGACTATTATGACCAATATACTCACTATTATTGTCTAACAGCTGACTATATATCAAAGCATCAGATCATTTAGCTAATTAACATAATATAAGTGATCAAAATGAATTGTGACTGTTTCACTGATAGAGTGGCTGGTGATCAAGTCACATTAGAACCGAGCAATGATCAGAGGGAGTACTTGAGAATATGATGTTGGCCTAAAGCCCTACTTTAACTACTGACTATGTAGCGAAGGTCTCTCATGGTGTTTGCTCTAGTAATGAGAACCTAATAGTTGTAATAGTATATATTATTCGCTGTATGTGTTCTAGGTGTCTGTTGCAGTGTTCAGTATGGCAGGACTGGATGTTCAGTCTGGGCTATATCAACCCTAAAAACCCAGAGGAACAGAAGATGATGGAGATGGTCTATAACATCTTCAGGATCCTGCTCTACCATGCCATCAAGTATGAGTGGGGAGGTTGGAGGGTCTGGGTGGATACACTCTCCATCGCTCACTCCAAGGTAAGACTCAGTGGCTGGCTGCGTCCCAAATGGCACCCTATTCCCTATATAGTGCACTACTTTTGATTTAGTTATTGATCATGTCTCTCCCTCTATATGGTAACTTATACGAGGCACATATGGAGTACCTGGCTGAGATGAGCTTGATTATTAGTTATAGATGATTAATTATAGATTATTGATTATTGATAATGTCTGTCCTATACTGTAGGTAACGTACGAGGCCCATAAGGAGTACCTGGCTAAGATGTATGAGGACTACCAGCGTCAGGAGGAGGAGAACATTAAGAAGGGGAGGAAGGGTCTGGTCAGCACCATCTCAGGCCTGCAGGACCTCCAGGCCGGGGGCATCCAGGGAAACATGGAGATCAGAGAGATAGACGACCACTCCCAGACACAGACCCCGGAGAGCGAGGCCGACTACCCCGAGACCCCCGGCCACCCCCGGAACATACTGTCGGAGGGGAAGACGAGGGAGGAGGGGGGGCTCGGGGGGACAGGGAGGACGGGGAGGACGGGGTCAGGGGTCAGAGTGGAGGTTCATGACCTGTTGGTGGACATCAAGGCTGAGAAGGTATGGTATCCGTCTGTTTTCATAGTTTTTACAACTGATTAATTTAGCAGATACTCTTATCCAGAGCAACTTCCAGTCAGTGCATTCAGGAAAAAAACACCACATATCACAGTTCTTGCAAGTAGACTCTTAAAATCAATGTCAGTCAGTCAGTTAATCAATCAATCCATCAATCAGCTAATCAATCAATCCCTCCCTCTCCCCAGGTGGAAGCGACGGAGGTGAAGCTGGATGACCTGGACCTGTCTCCAGAGCCGCTGGGCATGACAGTGGGTGTGGCTGGGGGTGTTGTCTCTGAGGACAGGGGCGGGGCATTGGTCCAGGTGGACTCCCTATTGGACAACGTGTACTGTGCTGCTGTAGAGAAGCTGAGCAGCAGTGCTGCCAGCGGAGTACTGGTCCCCAACGCAACCGTCGCTGTCGTCCCCGACAACCACAACACCGGTCCCCTCATCACCCTCGCTGACGACGACAAGGACAATCTCCCTAGCAACAGCAGCGTCCTGTTTGGCCAGGTTAGTTAATCTTTCTTTTCTTCTGCTTGTGTTTTGGTATGTGCAAGTTAACTAAACTGAACTGAACTCAACAGGAGGAGCCCCTGGTCCTGCCAAGTCCTGGTTCTAACCCAGATCCAGACCCCGAGTCCCCAATCCCACCAGGCCACAGCCATAACCTGGGCCTGCTGGCCCACATGACGGGCAGCTCTGAGCTGGGGACCGTCGGCACGGTCACTCCTGGTGGTCCGATCAGCAGCATCCTGGAGGAGGAGAGGTTTAAGCTCCAGACCACCCTGGGTGATGTCACCTCCATGCCCAGGGAAGAGGCCTGCTCTAAGGGGTCAGAGTTCACAGAGAAGGGGGCTGGAGCTAGGGCTGGAGGGTCTGGGGTGTCGGAGGGGGGCGAGCCTTTGGCTGGTGGGAAAGGTTGTGGGGCGGATGCAGTCAGCACCACCTCAGACACAGAGAGGTCAGACGACGGAAAGGACAAGGAGGTTAAGAAGATACAGACCACTACTACTACACAGGTTAGTCAAGTTACAAGACCTCCCTCCCTCCCTCTTGTCCTCTCTTCCTCATCTCTCCCACTTCCCTTTCTCCCTCCTCTCTCCCCCCTGTTAGTGAGTCTGATGCGAGGAAGGATGAGAGGAGAGAGAGGAGAGAGGAGAGAGGAGGAGGAGGAGGAGGAGGAGGAGAGGGAAGGAGGAGGAGAGAGTAGGAGGAGGAGGAGGAGTGGGGGAGGAGAGAGTAGGAGGAGGAGGGGGGGAGAGGGGAGGAGGAGGGGGGAGAGGGAAGGAGGAGGAGGAGGAGGAGGAGGAGAGTGAGGACTAAAGGACTATTAATAGTGTCTCTTCTTTACTGTTATGTAATGACTCATTTTAATTTATACACTCTGCTTTATACACTCTGTGAATTACAGTGTTTTGTGTGTGTCTGTGTGTGTGTATGTGTCTAATGTGTGTGTGTCAGTCCCTCCATGGTCGTACAGCAGCCCAGTTAGAGCGTGACCTGCGTGTGGACCTGGGCTTCAGAGGGATGCCCATGACCGAGGAGCAGCGTCGCCAGTTCAGCCCTGGCCCTCGCACCACCATGTTCCGCATCCCAGAGTTCAAATGGTCGCCCATGCACCAGCGCCTCCTCACCGACCTGTTGTTGGCCCTGGAGACAGACGTCCACATCTGGAGGAGGTGAGGGGACAGAGACACTGAGAACATGTCCCTAATCACACCCTAGTCCCTATGTAGTAAACTACTTTGTATATAAGCCCATTGGCCCTCTGTAGTGCACTATTTTTGACCACTTAGGGCTTCCACATGGGACATGCAGACGCTCTTATCCACAGCAACTTACAACTTTCCAACTAGCCTTACTGTGGATGATTATTCACCATGACCTGACGTAAGACCTGACCTATGCTTAACATTGTGTGACATGCTACTGCATCCTGATCAAATGAACTTTAATCCAGTTCTCTCCCTCTCTCCCTCTCTCCCTCCCTGCAGCCATTCAACCAAATCCGTCATGGACTTTGTCAACAGCAATGAGAACATCATCTTTGTCCACAACACCATCCACCTCCTCTCTCAGATGGTAGACAACATCATCATCGCCTGTGGAGGGATCCTTCCTCTGCTCTCCGCTGCCACCTCTCCTTCTGTAAGTCTGTCAGTCAGTCTTTCTACTACCTCTCCTTCTGTAAGTCTGTCAGTCAGTCTTTCTACTACCTCTCCTTCTGTAAGTCTGTCAGTCAGTCTTTCTACTACCTCTCCTTCTGTAAGTCTGTCAGTCAGCCTCTCAGCCTCTCTGCCACCTCTCCTTCGGTAAGTCATTCAGCCTCTCTATGGTGCCACACTACCATCTAGTGGTGGCTAGTAAGAACTGCATGTTTAGGTCTAAATTAATGATCGGCCTCTAGGAAATAGGACTAGTTGATTGTCTTTATCGATTGTTTCCGTTTTCATTTGCTCAGCTTCATTCTGCTATATATTCAGCTAATGAGGATTTTACTTTGTCAGCATTGTTTATGTTGGTGATGGTTTCCTCTGTGTGTTTTGTTTATGTGTGTTAAGGATAATATGTGCTTTACCTGCTGATTGTATCTGTTGATTTGAATCATCTGTTATTGTTTTTTCTTCTGTTTGTTTGTGTGCATGGCCAGAGTACCCAGGTTAGTGCATATGCTGTAAGTTATATTTTCTTTCCAAACATTTATTCTCTCAGGTACAATGGAACAATATTTAGTATTTCTGTTTCTTGAGTGTATATGACTGTCTCCTCTTCACCCTCCACCCCATCCCCTGTCCCCTCTTCACCCTCCACCCCCTCCCCTGTCCCCTCTTCCCCCTCCTCCCCATCCCCTGTCCCCTCTTCACCCTCCTCCCCTGTCCCCTGAACCCCTGCGTTGTGAGCAGGCTGAGTTGGAGAACATCGAGGCGACCCAGGGCATGTCTTCAGAGACAGCTGTGTCCTTCCTGTCCCGTCTCATGGCCATGGTGGACGTTCTGGTGTTCGCCAGCTCACTCAACTTCTCTGAGATAGAGGCTGAGAAGAACATGTCCTCTGGAGGCCTGATGAGACAGTGTCTTCGACTGGGTAAGAGTGTGCGTGTGTGCGTGCATGCGTGCGCATGTTTGTGTGTGTGTGTGTGTGCGCGTGCGCTTGTCACAGACATTAACTGTCATATTAGATGATTAATGAGATCAGTAAATGCCGTGGCAAAATCATTTCATGATCATTTCAGTAATTCCAGTATTCCATTCAGTTCCTTGATGTGGTCAACCTAGCTAATTCATTTTCTAAATGCACTGCTATTAGATAGTAAATGTGCTTTGGTAAAGGCCAGACTTTTGAAGCTAGTTCTGAAGTAACTCAGAACAAGTCCATACATACACAAACACACACAAACACACACAGACACACATATACAAACACACACACACAGCATATGTTTTACTATCCCTTTGGGGACCTAACATTTATTTCCATTCAAAATCCTATTTTCCCTAACCCTAAACCTAACCTTAACCCTAACCCTATCCTTAACCCCTAACCCTAACTCCTAAACCTAACCCCTAACCCTGATTCTAACCCTAATTGTAACCCTAACCCTAAACCTAACCCCTAAGCCTAAAATAGGCTTTGTCCACGAGGGAGAATTTTCCACACACACTCTCTCTCTCTCTCTCTCTCTCTCTCTCTCTCTCTCTCTCTCTCTCTCTCTCTCTCTCTCTCTCTCTCTCGCTCTCTCTCTCTCTCTCTCTCTCTCTCTAGGATGATAATATCCATTATCATCATCTGTACTGTGAAATTTGTCTGGCTGTTGATTTCACCATGACTCTGGCCTGGCAGCTTGGAACAAACAGTGATCATATCATTAATGCGTTTCAAGATGCAGCTTCTGATACCTTGTCTGTCTGTCTGTCTGTTTGTCTGTCTTTCCTCCCAGTGTGTTGTGTAGCAGTGAGGAACTGTCTGGATGTTAGACAGAGACAGAGGGACAGAGGGACCAACAGTAAGAGCCAGGACAACCTCTATGGTGCAGCATCTGCCAACAAGGTATGTCCTCACCTAACCTCATCATTTAAAAAAACATATAAAGTTGGTAATAATAGTACAGTTGATGGGTGGCTGTGACACAGGACATATAGGAACTATAAGTGGGGGGTGTGTGGGAGATCATTAAGTGTGACACGCAATGTAATATGGATGATACGCTAGCGGCTAAGTAAACAGATTGTTACACTGCCACTAAGATGTCAGACTCTCTTAGTCTCCTCACTTTAGATCTCCTACACCAGAAAATGTCTCAGTAACCTTTCTCGCATTCAGGACCCTGACAGACTTCTACAGGACGTCGACATCAACCGTCTGAGAGCTGTCGTATTCCGGGATGTGGTGAGTATGACTGTGTGTGTGCTGGTGCGTGTGTAACATGTTTGTGTGCGTGTGATTGTGTAACATTCATATGTGTCCCCTCCAGGATGACAGTAAGCAGGCCCAGTTCTTGGCCCTAGCGGTGGTATACTTCATCTCTGTCCTCATGGTGTCAAAGTACCGGGACATCCTGGAACCCCAGAGAGAGACCAACAGGTTGATCAGCCAATCAGCATGCAGCAATCGCCACGAGATCAACTCACCTACCAGCTCAGGTGCTTGCTTTTGTTATCCAACTCCCTCCCCTAATCCCGCCTCTAACCCCTCCCATAACCCATCCTCTCAGCTCTATGATTAATTCATGTGATCCACTAATTGCACTGTGCAGAATTAAACATGGAAACAGGAATGGAAGTGGAGAGGGGAAGTGGGAGAGGGGAAGGGAGGGGAAGTGGGGGAGGAGTGGGGGAAGTGGGGGAGGGGAGGGGAAGGTGGGTGTATGAAAGTTGTACAAGCAGCCCTGGTCTCTGTGGTATGAAAAGTAACATACCACTGGGCACACACTGAGAGAGAGCAAGCGAGACATGGAGAGATAGATTGAGAGAGAGCGTAAAAGAAACAGAGAGATGCTGAGGGTTTGGGGCGTTGTGAAGCTAGTTCTATTTCCAGAAGTCTGTCGTTGACCATTAGCCAGTCAATCAGCCAGGAGGATGGGATCAGAGAGGCTACTGGGAAGGACACTTCACCGTCCTCATAAATAATATCACCAGGAAGAGAGTTTCCAGCCAACAGGCACGTGGCAGATGTCTGTCTGTCTGGGATGGAAGTTAGAAGAGGCTAAACGAGGAAGTTAGATGGAGAGAGAATGGGCTTGTTCGACGTCGACTGCATTGCAGTCAGCAACTCCCGACTGGCTGATCTACGAATCACCTTGCATCTTAAATGACTACTCATTATTTTTTGTAGATCAGTCAATCACCATTAACCCACAATGCATCACATATTTGATGCTCTGGAACACGGCCAATGTGTGTGAGCCCACCCAGTGTCCTTGTATCCTGACTGTGTGTTTGTGTGTGTGTTCCAGAGACCCCCCTGGCGTACCCTGACCACAGTAAGGAGCCCCCCACCCCTGTAGAGGAGCTCCATATACAGAGAGGCTCTCTGCCGCACACTGACTCTGGCATTGGAGAGGAACAGGTTGCTCATCTAGATACTAAACTGTGTTCTCTTTTTTCGCTCTATTGGATTGGATTGTAGTTGTATTATAATGTGTGTTCGTGCATAAACCCAGGAAGAGTACAGGTACAAGAGTACATAACTAAACGAACCCCCCCCCCCCCCAGGTGGCCAGTGTGTTAAACGGAGCAGACCTGAACCCTTCAGGACCCGTGCGAGCTGACGCCATGTCCTCCCTGCTCGGCAGCCTCTCCTCTGGGGAGAAGCATAGCCAAGAGTCCCTCTTGGAGCCACCTGGCCTGGAGGTCCTAAGGACCGCCTCCTCCATCTCCTCCATCAGCCATTCAAACATCAACGTCCGAGAGATCCTGAAGAGCCTAGTGGCTGGGCCTGTAGAGATGGCGGAGCCTAGACCAGAGCCCCTCCCCTACCCCGATCCTGCTGTACAGAGAGAGACCCATCACCCCATGCTGCCCATGCAGTTCCACTCCTTTGACAGGTACACGCACACACAACCATGCAGTTCCACTCTTTGATGTCTTAAACATGTTTGACAACTTGAGCTCCACAGGAACCTATTGTGTTAGGGGTACAGGTAGCCTAGTGGTAGAACGTTGGGCCAGTAACGGAAAGGTCGCTGGTTCGAATACCCGAGCCGACAAGGTGAAAAATCTGTCGATGTGCCCTTGAGCAAGGCACTTACAGTGAGGGAAAAAAGTAGGCTTGATCCCCTGCTGATTTTGTATGTTTGCCCACTGACAAATAAATGATTAGTCTATAATTTTAATGGTAGGTTTATTTGAACAGTGAGAGACAGAATAACAACAAAAAAATCCAGAAAAACGCATGTCAAAAATGTTATAAATTGATTTGCATTTTAATGAGGGAAATAAGTATTTGACCCCCTCTCAATCAGAAAGATTTCTGGCTCCCAGGTGTCTTTTATACAGGTAACGAGCTGAGATTAGGAGCAAACTCTTAAAGGGAGTGCTCCTAATCTCACCTTGTTACCTTTATAAAAGACACCTGTCCACAGAAGCAATCAATCAATCAGATTCCAAACTCTCCACCATGGCCAAGATCAGAGAGCTCTCCAAGGATGTCAGGGACAAGATTGTAGACCTACACAAGGCTGGAATGGGCTACAAGACCATCGCCAAGCAGCTTGGTGAGAAGGTGACAACAGTTGGTGCGATTATTCGCAAATGGAAAAAACACAAAATAATTGTCAATCTCCCTCGGCCTGGGGCTCCATGCAAGATCTCACCTCGTGGAGTTGCGATGATCATGAGAACGGTGAGGAATCAGCCCAGAACTACACGGGAGGATCTTGTCAATGATCTCAAGGCAGCTGGGACCATAGTCACCAAGAAAACAATTGGTTTACACACTACACCGTGAAGGACTGAAATCCTGCAGCGCCCGCAAGGTCCCCCTGCTCAAGAAAGCACGTATACATGCCCGTCTGAAGTTTGCCAATGAACATCTGAATGATTCAGAGGAGAACTGGGTGAAAGTGTTGTGGTCAGATGAGACCAAAATCGAGCTCTTTGGCATCAACTCAACTCGCCGTGTTTGGAGGAGGAGGAATGCTGCCTATGACCCCAAGAAACTGGTGTATGTGACAATAAAACATATATTTTTTTGTGTTGATGACCAGTATATATGCTTCAAGACAGAACTATAATGTGTCATTAGTCAAGCATGCTCAACACGCCGCAGTTTATCTACCAGGTCTGTTTAGTTGTCAGGAGCAACGTTCATGGTTTTACAGTAGCAAGCTAAACATCACTCACGTTAGACATCCCGAGTGGCGCAGTGGTCTAAGGCACTGCATCGCAGTGCTAGCTGTGCCACTAGAGATCCTGGTTCGAATCCAGGCTCTGACGTAGCCGGCCGCGACCGGGAGACCCATGGGGCGGTGCACAATTGGCCCAGCGTCGTCCAGGGTAGGGGAGGGAATGGCCGGCAGGGATGTAGCTCAGTTGGTAGAGCATGGCGTTTGCAACGCCAGGGTTGTGGGTTCGTTTCCCACGGGGGGCCAGTATGGGGGGGGAAAAAAAAATATAATAATAATAATGTAAGTCGCTCTGGATAAGAGCGTCTGCTAAATGACTAAAATGTAAATGTAATGTTCGCTAAGCCCCCATGTGTGTTTGTGTGTGTGTGTTTGGAAAGGTCTTGTGTGTTGTGTGTTTACGTTCCTGCAGTAGATAAGAACCCAGTAATCTGTGTGCTGTCCCTGTGGTAACCTGTTGCTGACAGGATTTCAAGGTTCACATCCCAGAATCCTTATCTTTCTGTCTGGTGAACGTTCTGGACCAACAAACCCCTGAACCATGTCAAGAGTGTGGCTGTCGGAAGGGCCTGTTTGGTGTGTGTGAGTGTGTCACTTGTGATGAAGGTAAAAATGGAGGACAGAAGCAATAAGGAGATGGAGAGGGAGGAAAGGTAGAGAGGGAGGAGAGATGGAGGAGGAGATGAAGGATCAGATGAAGGACTGCAGAGGTCCCCTGGGCCCTGATGACTGATTAAACAGAAGCAGCTTCCCATCTAACCCCTCCCTCCTCCCTCCCTCCCTCCTCACCTCTCACAGCACTAATATGCCCTGGCAGGCTGAAATGAGTTGCCAGAGCTCTCTGTATTATTTTTGAAACGCTTTCACACACAGTGTCCAGGTCACACATACGACTCCTTCATGCTTTAATGTCATCCAGCCTCAATTTGCTGTCTAATTATTCTCCACCTGCCAGCAGAATGAGCTGCTAGGCTGACTAGGCCTCAGGACGGCTGGGCTGTCAGGCCTGAGGCTGATAGGGACTGACAACATCAAAACAGAGCACAAAGAAAAGGCTCAGAGCGTTGAGAGGAGGGCTGAGTCCCCTGGCCTCTCTGGTGATAGTCTCTCTGAGGTGGAGTTTTCAATTAGAGACTTCAATACCCAGGACTGGATGGCCAGATGGGACCATAGCACGACTGATCTGAATACACCTTTCTTTCTTTCTTTCTTTCTTTCTTTCTTTCTTTCTTTCTTTCTTTCTTTCTTTCTTTCTTTCTTTCTTTCTTTCTCTCTCTCTCTCTCTCCCTCTCTCTCTGTGTCTCTGTCTCTCTCCCTCTCTCTCTCTCTCTCTCTCTGTAGTACAGCTCTCTGACAGTAACAGTAACACTGGGATGTTGTCTAGCTCTGTATTTGTGATTACATTTATAATGAAGAACTGATTTAATCCGTTTGGTTTTAATTGAACTGACTATGTTAGGAAGTTTAATATTTTTAATCTATTTCCACAGTATATCTATATGATTGAGGATGTGTGTGCGTATATAAATGTGTGTATGTTCTTACAGGATGCGTTCTGTGGTTCTCTTTCCTCTACAGTCATCTCCTGTTCATTAATATTCCTCACTAGATGAATCCTCAATTTATTCACAGCAGCCCCTACTAAACACACCCCTATTAATAAATGATGCCTTAGATAATCTTTGCAGCATTCATGAGCGCGCGGATAATCAATTATTTATAATAAAGGTTCATATTTGATCAACATCTAGTATCAGACTGTAACCATGTCACACAGGGATAGCTGCACACATCCTTATCTTAGCTTTTCCCCTTTTTATTTTAAAGTCCATCTAGGGACAAATGTTGGGAATTAGTGCTAATCTGAAGTGTGATGGAACAATGCATGTGATTGTTTTTATTGTTTGTGTTCCTATTCCAATAAATTATTAGATAAATTACTCAATATGAACCAGGAATACCTTTAGAAAATATATTACATATATAGCTGGTTTTCTCAGTGATGTGCTGCTGTCAATGAGATCTCTAGTCTAAACCAAAGCAGCAGTACACAGATGTATTGAATAAATGATGCTGTCGCCATCAGTACCATCAGCAGATGCATATCTCAGACATTGTAATATGCAGCATACTGACATGGCCCTGTGTGTGTGTGTGTGTGCGTGCGTGCGTGTGTGTGTGTGTGCGTGTGCGTGTGTGTGTGTGTCATGCTGCTCATCAGAAGTGAGTAAATAACTGCAGTATATCCCAGTGGTCTGAATGTATGCTCTGTGCTCTCCAAGTGGACCATGGGAAGGTCACAAGTTTAGTCGTCTAAAGACCCTGCTCTGTCCCAAATGACTCCCTATATAGTGCACTACTTTTGACCAGGGCTCTTGTCAAACGTAGTGCACTATATAGAGAATAGAGTGCCATTTGGGATGCACTACCTGCTGGCAGTATTTACTGCCTTCCTCCCTCGTGATGTGTTCTAGTGTCTATAAATATATAAGAGGAAACCAGAAGTGTCTTCACACATAGAACAGTCTGTCTATTTCCATGTATTTATATATCTTTTTAATGATTTAATGTTTCTCTTAATAACTTAATGGGAGCATTACTCATGCTTGGTTCACCATTAGCTACACTTAGCTGCTCTGTGTGTGTGTGTGTGTGTGTCTCCCTCTCTCTCTGAATAGGAGTGTGGTGGTCCCAGTGAAGAAGCCTCCACCAGGCAGTCTGGCTGTGAACACGGTTGGACACGCATCCTCCAGCAGCCTGGCAACAGGCTCCACCCCCAACATCTTTGCTGCAGCCTCCAACACCCCCAAGAGCATGATCAACACCACTGGTAGGCCTACACCCATGGGCCCTGGTCAAATGTAGGGAATAGGGTGCAATTTGGGACTAAACCTTATGCCCTAGCCCCTAGCCCTTAATGCCTAGCCACTTGTGTATACTTGAAAGGAGTGGGTAGGTATGAGTAATACTAGTGACAATTCCACCTAACCTACAGTAGCTGAGTAACGTGGAGCTATTACTACCATACCAATATTATTGCTTTATACCTATCTGATCCTTTCTTGTCTATATGAGGTGCCTAGGGGCTGGTGAGTAAAGGGTAGGGGCTAGGTGTAGGGGGTAGGGTATAGGTGTAGGGGGTAAGGGCTAGGTGTAGGGGTAAAGGGATAGCGGTTTATTTAAGATTCAGCCTGACATATAAGCCCTCTGAATGATGGTACATAGGGTCTCAGACTTACAAGGTTACTAATAATACTATACTAATGTGTTCGGCCGGTAATGTGGTTTATTTCCAGGGAGCTGTTGCTAGTTGGAGTTCGTTAGTATTTAATTTGAGTAATTACTGCAGATCTTAATAACCCAGTGGGTCTGGAATGTGTCCTTTGAAGCCGGTCCAGGAATAGGAGCAGAATTTGCATCCCAAATGGCTCCCTATGTAGTGCACTACTTTTGACCAAGGCCCATAGGGATCTGGTCAAAAGTGGTGCGCTATATAAAGTTTAGGGTGCCATTTGGGAAGCGACCAATTTGTTTGTTGGCTGGATGACTGAGGTTTAATGGTGGAGTGTAGAAACTCATACTGAGCACCAGAGGGCACTCTACTGCTCTACATGACCATGCTTCCTATACAGTACTATGACACTGCTGTGTGGTGGTTATGCTGTATAAAGCATTATAAACTGGGTGGTTTGAGCTGTGAATTCTGATTAGCTGAAAGCCATGGTATATCAGACCATATACCACGGGTATGACAAAATATGTATTTTTACTGCTCTAATTATGTTGGTAACCAGTTTATAATAGCAATAAGGCTCCTCGGGGGGTTGTGATATATGGCCAATAGACCACGGCTAAGGGCTGTGTCCAGGCACTCCGCGTTGCGTCGTGCATAAGAACAGCCCTTAGCCGTGGTATATTGGCCATATACCACACCTCCTGTGGCCTTATTGCTTAAGTATAATACAATCAGTTCAGGTTGAAATGCATTCAATGACCTCTGAGAAATGGTATCTTGTTCTTTTATTATCAGTTTAATTTGTTGAGACCAGAATAGTGTAGTGTAGTAGTAGTTGTAGTGTAGTGTGCGTCCCAAATGGCACCCTATTCCATACCTAGTGCACTACTATATGGAATATAGGAGTAGGCCTTGACAAAAGTAGTGCACTAAATAGGGAATAGGGTTCCATTTGACTGTCCTCTCCCCTGAGGCCCTGCTCTGTGCTGTTGAGCCAATGGTCCCATGATGCAGCAGGCCTCTGAAAGAAGCCACTTAATACAGAGACCATTAGAGCTGCAACACCTATTAAATGTTCCTATCCCCTCAGCAGGAATGTGAGAAATGTGACAGAGTCAAAGTGTGCTTTCAGCTAAACCCAGTAGCTCTCCTCTCTCCTCCTCTCTCTTTCTCTCCCTCTTTTTCCATCTATAATCCTTCTCTCCCTACCTACCTTCCTCTTTCTCCCCCCTCCCACTCTCTCTCTCACCCCCTCTCCTCCTCCCTATCTCTCTCTCACCCCCTCTTTCTCCCCCCTCCCACTCCCCTCTCCTCCTCCCTATCTCTCTCTCATCCCCTATTTCTCCCACTCTCTCTTTTTTTCTCTCTCCCTCCTTCTCTCCCTCCTTCCCTCAGACCCCATGATTTCATCAGTTCTGTTCTGTTCTGTAGATGTTCTTTGTCAACGTGACCCATGAACTCAAGGACATGCATGTGATACCTGGAACGATGATAGATGGAAAACATCTTAATCGTATCATATTAAACATGTAACCCAATATTGGACTGAGTTATGATAACTCATGAAATTATTAACAATAAATTCTACAGATGTAACTACAATGCACCACGTTTGAACAACCAATTATAGTGAATTGGACATTAGACATTCATATACTTACAATGTCATTCCTATAGGTCGGCCCTGTAACTGAAACAGACCTTGGGTAGATAATATACAGCATAGTTGTATACTTGGGTATATAATGGACTTGTATACTGTATATTTCTATACTTCGGTATATAATGGAGTTGTAAACTGTATATTTCTATACTTGGGTATATACTATAGTTGTATACTGTATAGTGTATGCTGTACTGTATAGTTGTATACTTGGGTATATAATGGAGTTGTATACTGTGTATTTCTATAGTTTGGTGTATAATTGAGTTGTGTACTGTACTGTATAGTTGTTTACTTGGGTATATAATATAGTTGTATACTGTATATTTCTATACTTAGGTATATAATAGAGTTGTATAGTGTATAGTTGAATACTTGGGTATATAATGGAGTTGTTTACTGTATATTTCTATACTTAGGTATATGATAGAGTTGTATACTGTATATTTCTATACTTAGGTATATAATAGAGTTGTATAGTGTATAGTTGTATACTATACACTATACTTCTCCCAGTGTGACGTTGGTTGGTTTGTTTGTTCCCTGCAGGAGCTACAGACTTGGCCTCCTCTTCCTCCACCTCTTCCTCATCCTTCGTCAACGGGGCCACCAGTAAGAACCTGCCTGCAGTCCAGCCGGTGGCACCCATGCCTGAAGACACAGTGGAGAACATGAGGTAGGGTCAGGGTGTGACAGTACTGTGTGTGTGTAGTAGGCGGATTATGCATTTCAGTGCTGCAGACATATTCACCATATATCACCTGGAGCCACAGAACAGTGCATGTCTTTCTCTATCAGCATGTAACCACTGCCTGTGGTGTTGTGTGAATGGTAATTCAGAGAAAATGGTGTGTGTGTGTGTGTAGCGGGTTAAGGTGTGTGTGGATGCTGTTGTGACCTTGACTCCTCGTCCCCACCTGTAATGGTTTGTGACAGACATCTCTAGTGCTGCAGAGAGCCTGAGTACCTCTCTCTCTGTCTCGCAGTCCCACAGCCTCAACACAAACACACACACACACTCTCTCGCTCTCTCTCCCTCCTGTCCCCCTCTAAAGGAATTGCAAATCAGTTGCCATGGCAGCAGTAACCGACATCACTTACCGTAACCGTGGAGTCAATGATGGAAGTGGCAAGTTGCAGAGCTGTGTGTGTGTGTATGTGTCTCACCGGTTGTAGAGCTGTGTGTGTGATCATACCAAACTCTCAATTTAGTTCAGTCAGACTGACATGTAGCTTGTTATGGTAGACAATAGGCATATGGGCTCTGGTCAAAAGTAGTGCACTATAAAAGGAATAGGGTGCCATTTGGGAATCAGTCATAGTGACTGCTGCAATCTCTGTGTATTTCAGTGCGTTGCTCTGTGAGGTGGACCAGGATCTGAGAGTCTTTAGTTGGTCCCTGCCGGGGGGCCACACAGAGACAGAGACAGAGATGGCCCCCAGAGGTGCAGGCCAGTGTCATAGGCAAGCACTGTTTAACATCGCTCACACAGGTGTCACTGTCTCACTGATGCACTCATCACTTCACCTTCGTATTCTTCCCAGGAGGCCAAGGGGCAGAAGACACTTTGCTTCTAGTCCCTCCTAGGCCAAGCCTCTCTCTCTCTTTTTTTTTCTCTCTCTCTCTCCCCCTCTCTCTCTCTGTCTGTCTGTCTCTGTATGTTTCTATACTAGTGGACAGGCTACAGGCTCAAGGCAGTATCTCTCTGCTTTTAGATGCTTCCTGTATAGATAGATAGATACTACTAGACACTAGGCTGTAGAGGTCTTCTCGGGTCCAAAAAGTTGGACCTGGACCCGAATGGACCCGAGGACAATAAGACCCGGACCTGAACATACCCAATAATTTCAAAAAAAGGGGGACCCGGACCCGAGAACAGTCAGACCCGAACCCAAATGGACCCGACGACAACTAGACCTAGACCCGACCCGATTGGTCCTGAGTGACAAAATATATATGTTTATCAGCCAAGTTGCTCTTCTGGTTAACGAATAGGGTTTTATATGTTGGCTAAGCCTTCTATAAATAAATAAATCCACCTTATTAGCATAAAATAAGTATGCTATAGGCTGTGCAGAGTCATGGTCGGATCCATTTGGGTCCACTCGGGTTTATCAGCAGTAGTTACATAGACCCGAGACACGATGACAATCAAACTATACCCGACCCAGACCCAAGGGAAAAGTTTACATTTTGGACCCACTCAGGTCTCGAGTATTCAGGTTCGGGTGGACTCGTGAAGACCTCTACTAGGCTGTGTGACACAGTCTGGGCTCGAAACGGCGACCAATTTGGTTGCATATGCGACAAAATATTTAGCTGTGCGACCTGGAGTTTTATTTTGGGAACACCAGTGCGACTAAAAGAAAATCCACCAAAAATGCAATACCTAACAATATTTAGCTGCAACACTCATCTCTACACTGCTTGCTTCCAGTTCCCGGGCCACACACACAGTTCCTCCATGCTATTTATTCTCTCAGCATGCTGTCAATTCATGCACTCAACATATTCTTCCAAAACATGAAGGATGCTGCTTTCCACGTTGCTTCTTAATATGAATCCACGTTTTCTCTATTATACTATTACTTTGTCTATCTTGCTCTGCAAAAAATGAGTTAGTTAGTCTAAGGAAGCTGGCATGTGCCTTGAAATAATGCTAATCGTTAATGCTAATCGCTAACTAGCTAGCTAAATGCACTAGCTAGGGCAAAGCAAACGTTACCTCTAATACAGGTTGCTAGCAGTGGTGGTGTAGATTAGCATGTCGTTTGTCTAAATGCAACATCTATTCAAATGTGATTAGGGTCCCCTGGGAAACACTGACCAACATTTTGGTTCCTACCCTGTCATAACTCCTACGTGGCTTTTTCATTTGTTGTCATGCCAAACAACACCAATCATAGAATTAGAATAATCATTGTATATCTATGATTCCAACAGTTCACCCAAGTGTTTTGATCTATTCTCTAAATTACCAGTGCTACCAATTAAATTGTTTAATTTAGAGCCCTGGATGCAGTGTTCTGCTGTGTGTGAAAGGATGTTCTAACTCTCATGTACTAACCCAGATGGAGGGCTTTACTCTGCTCTGCTCTGCTCACCACACAACCCTACCCAACCTTATACTCATCTGTTTACTGTTGTTGTCTTTCTGCTCTCTGTCTCTTCCACTCTGACATCCTCTCTCTCTCTCTCTCTCTCTCTCTCTCTCTCTCTCTCTCTCTCTCTCTCTCTCTCTCTCTCTCTCTCTCTCTCTCTTCACCCCCCCCTCTTTCTTTCCCTGTTCTCTGTCTTCTCTCTTCACCCCCCACCCCTCTCTCTCTCTCCCTCTCCCTGCTCTGTTCTCACACAGTATCACTGCTAAGTTGGAGCGTGCGCTGGAGAAGGTGGCTCCCCTGCTCAGGGAGATCTTTGTGGACTTTGCGCCGTTCCTCTCTAGGACCCTCTTGGGAAGCCATGGCCAGGAGCTGCTCATAGAAGGTATAGGTGCTGTATAGTGTCTCTCTCTTTACTCCTCCAACTGTGTGTCCCTCCGTCCGTCCGTCGCTCAGTCTGTCTGTCCTCTCCTGTCCCTCTGGCTGTCCACTGGCTGCTGTGTCACTGCTGGATGCCTAGTAATGTAGCCCAGAGAGGGCTACCACGCACGCACACACATGCCCACACACATGTACTCACACAGGCACACACACACAGACACAGGAGAAACAATTAATGGAGAGTTGACAGGTGTGAATGTTGTCTGATCCCTTCACTCTGCCTGTCTGTCCGTCTGTCAGAACACTGGCCATGCTGACAGATACACACACACACACACACCTGACCGCTGAGCACAGACCATGTACAGACCAGGCAAACACAACACACTTCACCAACACAATAGAGCCAGTATTAATAAAGCATCTCATACAAGTGCTGGGATCAAGTCTAGGATCAGTTTTACCTTATAGTTCATTATGAATAATATTACATGCACAGTAGAGACCTGATCCTAGATCAGCACCCTACTTTGAGATGCTTTGCCCAGACCTTTACCAAGGAAAGGAGGCTGTTTTTCCTCCCAGGCTGAATCAGGGCCCTGGTGGAAAGTCTCTCCATTTAGTAGTAATTACCAGCCATACATCACTCAAATTACCCGGGGTCGTGCCCCGAGTTCCCCCTCACCCACCCCCCTCTCCTCTCCTCCTTCCCCCTCTCTAGACATGTTGTCAGTGGCCCCTGGCCCATGATACACTTGGAGTTGAGAGGGAGGCCCCTGGGCGAACAGAGCTGTCGTTGTGATGGCCTCCCCTCTCTCTGTCTCTCCTCTCCTTCCCCCTTCCTACCTCCTCTCTCTCTGCCTCGCCTCACATCATTAATGAAACAATCTAATCAAATCGAAGCTAAATGGTGAATTCACAAACTAATGAATATCAGACAAGTCAAAATAAACACAACTAATACTGACTCAAACCTAATGCCACATTAATAACCTACCAATACTGCTGAAAGCAACACCGCTACAGCGGGACTCTCGGAAAGTAATCATCCCTTGACGTCATAAACTAACAGTAGCATAGCAACGACTAAGCAGCCCTAAAGTACTACCCTAGCATCTACTGACTGCCTATCTCTTACTACAACCTCTCACTCTGCTTCATCTCTCTAAATCCAATTCACAACTCTCTATCTGCACTACTATCTACTCCCCCTTCCATAGCTATGCTTCTGCCTCTCCTCCTTACCCACTTCCTACCTCCCTCTTCTCTGCTCTCCTCTCCTTCCCCCTTCCTACCTCTCCTCTCTCTGCCTCTGCCTCTCCTCTCCTTCCCCCTTCCTACCCCTACCAGCACACTGCTCCACAATGCCACATTCACCTCAATGATTTAACCCTGCCCTGCTCACAGGAAAGTCCTGGTCAGAGAGGCAGAGCCTGTTAAAATAGAACACATTTAGTTTGCGTACCAGCATACGGCCAGAGTCCATGGTCATTAGGCCAGCATACCAGAGTACAGCTGGGGTCGCTAGGGGCCAGGGTCACCCTACCACCTGACCCCCTGTGTCAGAGAGAGCTGAGTGATGGGAGAACTGGTCATTGCAGTCACAAGAGGTCAGCCGTGGTGGACTGTAGCTGTGTGTGTGTGTGTGTATGTGTGTGTGTGTGTGTGTGTGTGTGTGTGTGTGTGTGTGTGTGTGTGCGCCTGTGTGTAATAGGTCATCTGTAGCTGTCTGTGAACTAGAGAGGGTCACATCCCCTGTTTACAACCGTCTTAGAGTCTGACTGTTTCAGTGCTGTGCAAGAACAGGAGGAAGATTCACACTCTTCACATTATACAACAGTCCACTTTGTCTCCATCCCAAATAGCACCCTATTTCCTATGTAGTGCACTCCATAGGGCTCTTGTCAACATTAATGCAATATAGAGGGAATAGGGTGCCATTTGTTACCCACACTTTGTCACTTTGTCTCTATCTCAGTGGTTTGTAGGCATCTATATTGTTTTATTATTGTACATGTAAGGTAATTTCCCATTTCCAATCCTAGCAAGCTCTTTCTTTGCATGAACGGTAAAACGGAAGAGGTGTTTGACATGCATGAGATGGTCTCTGTCTGTGTGTTTATCAACATGTTGTCATCTCATCCCTGGTTGTTGACTCATGCTGTCAATCACACTGACTGACATCTTTATGTAACCATGCCAACGGGCCCTGGCCCAACCAGCCCATAATGAGTCCTCCAGATTGTCTTCTTCTCTGTTAATGAGTACAATGTTAGCCCATCCCACCTGTCATTGAAGAGGTTTCATAGTGACATATATGAAGGCACTAGGAACTGTTGAGCCCAGTCAAACTGTCCTGTGTGTTGTATGCCAACTCTGCTTCTAACTCTCTGTCCCATCCTGTCCTGCCCTGTCCTCTCAGGTGAGAGTCTCTTCTCTTCTCCTCACATCTCCCCTCCTTTTCTCTTCACTCTCTGCTTCTTCCTTCCCCTCACCATCTCCCTCCTTTTCTCTCTCCGCTCTCTCTGCTTCTCTTTCTCCTCACATCTCCCTCCTTTTCTTCTCCCTCTCTGCTTCTTCTTCCTTCCTCCTCACATCTCCCTCCTTTTCTCTCCCTCTCTGCTTCTTCCTTTCTCCTCACATCTCCCTCCTTTTCTCTCCCTCTCTGCTTCTTCCTTCCTCCTCACATCTCCCTCCTTTTCTCTCCCTCTCTGCTTCTTCCTTTCTCCTCACATCTCCCTCCTTTTCTCTCCCTCTCTGCTTCTTCCTTTCTCCTCACATCTCCCTCCTTTTCTCTCCCTCTCTGCTTCTTCCTTTCTCCCTCACATCTCCCTCCTTTTCTCTCCCTCTCTGCTTCTTCCTTTCTCCTCACATCTCCCTCCTTTTCTCTCCCTCTCTGCTTCTTCCTTCCTCCTCACACATCCCTCTCTTCCCTCCACTCCCTCCCTTCTCTCGTCTCTACCTCTTCCTCCCTCTCTCCCTCTCACCTCCAAACCTCTCCTCTCCTCCCTGTGATGGACTCTAAAGATGAGGCTGCTTCCAGCTCCAGTTCTCTGGGTTGTTCCACGAAATGAGTCCCTTTTGCGTCCCTTTGATATTTGAAGTAGAGATTGTGCACCAATATTCAATTTTGGAATGAAGTGCCCTTTAATGTAGACCACAAAATTCCCTCTGTGCACTCAAAAGATTTTAACCCACTGAACCCCAACATTTCTCAACATTTTCACCATCATTCTAAAGCCCTAGTTATTTTGTTGCTTTGATCAAGTAATTTCTGAAGATTATTATTTATTTCATTTGATTAGTGATAAATTAAGTGAAAAAAAATAAAATTAAATCATTTTATGGTCAACCCAGTGACATGAAGTGAACGATTGTTTGACTAATGGTAAAACTTTGTCTTTTGAATTTTTTTTTTCAAAATAAATATTGAATGTCTAATAGTCATAGTGTAATCATTAATCATAGTGTAAAAGCAGTAAAACAGGTTCTACTCTTTTGGCCATTTTGTGCAGTTTTATGGTGGAGAACTGAGTGGGTCGAGCATAACACGTCAACCCTGCTAACCATAGATAAACCGGCTAGAAATGTTTTAACAATTAAAATAAAATTGTGAAGCTTGCATTAACTTTCCTCTCCGTGTTACACACAACAATTCCCTCTGTCACAAGGGGATTTCTGGCTGATTTAAGATGAAACCGTCAACCCTGTTAAGGTCAACCCTGTTAAGGTCAACCTTGTTACGGTCAACCCTCTTAGTTTATTTGGCACTCAATAGGCATGTTTTTTATTCAATTGAACATGTGCTCTTCATGACAATGTTAAAATTAGGTGAAATAAAATAAAATAACAATTCAGTAAATTACAGTACCCAAAGGGACTCATTTCGTAAACGACCCCTCTGTGATCAGACCATTGTAAGTTCTCACCACCACCCTGTCCCCTTACCTCCTCCCTGTCCTCATATCTCCTCCCTGTCCCCTTACCTCCTCCCTGTCCCCTTACCTCCTCCCTGTCCCCTTAACTCCTCCCTGTCCCCTTAACTCCTCCCTGTCCCATATCTCCTCCCTGTCCCCTTACCTCCTCCCTGTCCCCCTTAACCTCCTCCATCTCCTCATATCTCCTCCCTGTCCCCTTACCTCCTCCCTGTCCCCTTACCTCCTCCATCTCCTCATATCTCCTCCCTGTCCCCTTACCTCCTCCCTGTCCCCTTACCTCCTCCATCTCCTCATATCTCCTCCCTGTCCCCTTAACTCCTCCCTGTCCCCTTACCTCCTCCCTGTCCCCTTACCTCCTCCATCTCTTCATATCTCCACCCTGTCCCCTTAACCTCCTCCCTGTCCCCTTACCTCCTCCCTTGTCCCCTTACCTCCTCCCTGTCCCCTTACCTCCTCCTGTCCCCTTAACTCCTCCCCTGTCCCCATATTCTCCCTCCCTGTCCCCTTACCTCCTCCCTGTCCCCTTACCTCCTCCCTGTCCCCTTACCTCCTCCCTGTCCCCTTACCTCCTCCCTGTCCCCTTAACTCCTCCCTGTCCCCATATCTCCTCCCTGTCCCCTTACCTCCTCCCTGTCCCCTTACCTCCTCCATCTCCTCATATCTCCTCCCTGTCCCCTTAACTCCTCCCCTGTCCCCTTACCTCCTCCCTTGTCCCCTTACCTCCTCCATCTCCTCATATCTCCTCCCTGTCCCCTTACCTCCTCCCTGTCCCCTTACCTCCTCCCTGTCCCCTTACCTCCTCCCTGTCCCCTTAACTCCTCCCTGTCCCCTTACCTCCTCCCTGTCCCCTTAACTCCTCCCTGTCCCCATATCTCCTCCCTGTCCCCTTACCTCCTCCCTGTCCCCTTACCTCCTCCATCTCCTCATATCTCCTCCCTGTCCCCTTAACTCCTCCCTGTCCCCTTAACTCCTCCCTGTCCCCTTAACTCCTTCCTGTCCTCATATCTCCTCCCTGTCCCCTTATCTCCTCCCTGTCCCCTTAACTCCTCCCTGTCCCCTTAACTCCTCCCTGTCCCCTTAACTCCTCCCTGTCCCCTTAACTCCTTCCTGTCCTCATATCTCCTCCCTGTCCCCTTATCTCCTCCCTGTCCTCATAGTGGATCAGCTCCACCTCATGTAAAGCTGTGTGGGACTGATCACCTCCTCTAGTTAAGCCCAATGATGTACGGTGTCTTCAGAAAGTATTCATACCCCTTGACTTATTCCACATTTTGTTGTGTTCTAACCTGAATTCAAAATTGATTAAAAAAATTGATTATTTTTCTCACCCATCTACTCACAATACCCCATAATGACAAAGTGAAAACATGTTTTTAGAACATTTTGCTAATTTATTGAAAATGAAATACAAAAATATCTAATTTACATAAGTATTCACACCACTGAATCAATACTTTGTAGAAGCACCTTTGGCAGCAATTACAGCTCTGTCTTTTAGGGTAAGTCTAAGACCTTTGCACACCTGGATTGTACAATAGTTGCCCATTATTCTTAAAAAAATTATTCAAGCTCTATCAACTTGATTTTTGATCATTGCATTTTCAAGTCTTGCCATAGATTATCAAGTCGATATAAGTCAAAACTGTAAATAGGCCACTCAGGAACATTCAATGTCATCTTGGTAAGCAACCGGTGTAGATTTGGCCTTGTGTTTTAGGTTATTGTCCTGCTGAAAGGTGAATTCGTCTCCCAGTGTCTGTTGGAAAGCAAACTGAACCAGGTTTTCCTCTAGGATTTTGCCTGTGCTTTTAGCTGTATTCCGTTTCTTGTTATCCTAAAAAAAACTCCCTAGTCCTTGCCGATGACAAGCATACCCATAGCATGATGTAGCCACCACCATGCTTGAAAATATGAAGAGTGGTACTCAGTAATGTGTTGTGTTGGATTTGCCCCAAACGTAACGTTTTGTATTCAGAACAAAAAGTTAATTTCTTTGCAAAAACTTTTTGCAGTATTACTTAAGGATGCATGTTTTGGAATATTTTTTAGTCTGTACAGGCTTCCTTCTTTTCACTCTATACAGTGGCTTGCGAAAGTATTCACCCCCCTTGGCATTTTTCCTATTTTGTTGCCTTACAACCTGGAATTAAAATTGATTTTTTGGGAGTTTGTATTACATTTACATTTTAGTCATTTAGCAGACGCTCTTATCCAGAGCGACATACAGTTAGTGAGTGCATACATTATTATTATTATATATTTTTTCATACTGGCCCCCCGTGGGAATCGAACCCACAACCCTGGCGTTGCAAACGCCATGCTCTACCAACTGAGCTACATCCCTGCCGGCCATTCCCTCCCCTACCCTGGACGACGCTGGGCCAATTATGCGCCGCCCCATGGGTCTCCCGGTCACGGCCAGCTACGACAGAGCCTGGATTCGAACCAGGATCTCTAGTGGCACAGCTAGCACTGCGATGCAGTGCCTTAGACCACTGCGCCACTCGGGAGATTTGTATCATTTGATTTACACAACATGCCTACCACTTTGAAGATGCAAAATACATTTTTTTGTGAAACGAACAAGAAATAAGACAAAAAAACAGAAAACTTGAGCGTGCATAACTTACTTTGTAGAGCCACCTTTTGCAACAGCAATTACAGCTGCAAGTCTCTTGGGGTATGTCGCTATAAGCTTGGCACATCTAGCCACTGGGATTTTTGCCCATTCTTCAAGGCAAAACTGCTCCAGCTCCTTCAAGTTGGATGGGTTCTGCTGGTGTACAGCAATCTTTAAGTCATACCATATTATTATTATTATTATTATTATTATTATTATTATACCACAGATTCTCAATTGGATTGAGGTCTGGGCTTTGACTAGGCCATTCCAAGACATTTAAATGTTTCCCCTTAAACCACTTGAGTGTTGCTTTAGCAGTATGCTTAGGGAAACTGCTGGAAGAGAACCGCCGTCCCAGTCTCAAATCTCTGGAAGACTGAAACAGGTTTCCCTCAAGAATTTCCCTGTATTTAGCGCCATCCATCATTCTTTCAGTTCTTACCAGTTTCCCTGCCGAGAAAAACATCCCTACAGCGTGATGCTGCCACCACCATGCTTCACTTTGGGGATGGTGTTCTCGGGTGATGAGAGGTGTTGGGTTTGCGCCAGACATAGCATTTTCCTTCATTGCCAAAAAGCTCAATTTTAGTCTCATCTGACCAGAGTACCTTCTTCCAAATGTTTGCGGAGTCTCCCAAATGCCTTTTGCGTTAGCTTTTTTTTTTCTTTAAGCAATTACTTTTTTTCTGCCCACTTTTCCGCAAAGCCCAGCTCTGTGGAGTATATGGCTTAAAGTTGTCCTATGGACAGATACTCCAATCTCCGTTGTGGAGCTTTGCAGCTCCTTCAGGGTTATCTTTGGTCTCTTTGTTGCCTCTCTGATTAATACCCTCCTTGCCTGTTCCGTGAGTTTTGGTGGGCGGCCCTCTCTTGGCAGGTTTGTTGTGGTGCCATATTCTTTAAATTTTTTAATAATGGATTTAATGGTGCTCCGTGGGATGTTCAACGTTTCTGATATTTTTTTATAACCCAACCCTGATCTGTACTTCTCCACAACTTTGTCCCTGACCTGTTTGGAGAGCTCTTTGGTCTTCATGGTGCCGCTTGCTTGGTGGTGCCCCTTGCTTAGTGGTGTTGCAGACTCTGGGGCCTTTCAGAACAGGTGTATATATACTGAGATCATGTGACAGTTCATGTGACACTTAGATTGCACACAGGTGGACTTTATTTAACAAATTATGTGACTTCTGAAGGTAATTGGTTGCACCAGATCTTATTTAGGGGCTTCATAGCAAAGGGGGTGAATAGATATGCATGCGCCACTTTTCCGTTATTGATTTTTTAGAATGTTTTGAAATAAGTTATTTTTTTCATTTCACTTCACCAATTTGGACTATTTGTGTATGTCCATTACATGAAATCCCAAAAAAATCCATTTAAATTACAGGTTGTTGTCACACCCTGGCTCTGGGACTCATTATGTTGAGCCAGGGTGTGTTCATTTCTATGTGTGTATTTCTGTGTTGGTGTTCATTCTAGTTTGTTGTATTCTATGTTTGCCTGAGTGACTCCCAATCAGAGGCAACGAGTGTCAGCTGTTGGCTGGTTGTCTCTGATTGGGAGCCATATTTAACTGTATGTTTTCCCTTTGTGGTTGTGGGTTTTTGTTCCGTGTTCGGTCATTGATACCGTGGACGTCACGAGTCGTTTCTTGTTTTGTTTCGTGCTTTAACTAATTAAAGTCATGTTTGTTCATCACGCTGCGCCTTGGTCTACTCCTTACCTCGATCGTGACAGAAAAACCCACCATGCAACGACCAAGCAGCGTGTCCAGGGGCAGCCCTTGGGGTGGACATGGGAGGAAGCGCCGGGAAAGGCCCTGGCGAAAGAGGAGCAGCGTGTCCAGGAGCAGGCAGCCTGGACATGGGAGGAGATATTGGACGGTAAAGGGTCCTGGACTTGGGGGGAAATCCTGGCCGGGATGGATCGCCGGCCATGGAGTGAGACAGTGGAGAGGCGACGGAGAGAGGAGCAACGGCGTGATCAGGGTCGTCGTCGGACGGTCGTGAGGCAACCCCAGAAAATGTTTAGGGGGGGGCACACGGCATGGACGACGGGGCTGACGGAGGAGAAAAGGGGGCGGATCCAGAAGGCCACCAGGCCAGGGGTTCACCGCCCAGTACGTCCTGTGCGGATGCCTCAAACAGAGTGTGTGAGGGTAGGCATTCAGCCAGGACGGGTGGTGGCCGCTCTTCACTCCAGGCCTCCTATCCGTCTCCACAGCCCGGTTCGGCCTGTCCCTGCTCCACGCACCAAGCCTACGGTGTGCGTCGCCAGCCCAGCCCGGCCTGTCTCTGCTCCACGCACCAAGCCTACGGTGTGCGTCGCCAGCCCAGTCCGGCCTGTCCCTGCTCCACGCACCAAGCCTACGGTGTGCGTCGCCAGCCCAGTCCGGCCTGTCCCTGCTCCACGCACCAAGCCTACGGTGTGCGTCGACAGCCCAGCCCGGCCTGTTCCTGCTCCACGCACCAAGCCTACGGTGTGCGTCGCCAGCCCGGTCCGGCCTGTTCCTGCCACCCGCACCAAGTCTACGGTGCGCGTCGCCAGCCCGACCCGGCCTGTTCCTGCCACTCGCACCAAACCTACGGTGCGCGTCGCCAGCCCGGTCCGGCCTGTTCCTGCCACCCGCACCAAGTCTACGGTGCGCGTCGCCAGCCCGACCCGGCCTGTTCCTGCCACCCGCACCAAGTCTACGGTGCGCGTCGCCAGCCCGACCCGGCCTGTTCCTGCCACTCGCACCAAACCTACGGTGCGCGTCGCCAGCC